ACGATATTTCATGCAGTTAAAGTAAATATATTTTATTATTTTTATTGGAAAGGGTTTTGTAGAAAATGAAACAATCCGGTCAGTAGATTTCCGTTGGGAGCATTGTGCAAAGGTTTCATAATGATTTTTCGTTAAAACACACATCACATCTAATATGGTTATTTTCTTTTATTATACTTAAAATCGTTCGGAAATTAATAGAAATATAACAAAAAGGAGTATATACTTTTCTCTAATATAATTTTCTAGCACTATCCAGATCAATAGGCGATTTCACTAGGGTTATTATATTTCAAAACGGAAACCACGTATTTCAAATCACTTAATATTTATAATCGTACAATAACTTTACTTCTTTCTTATTTTTCGAGTTCTACTAAATAATTTGAAAACATACATGATTCACTATAATAATTAAAATAATATATTTTTTTTAACTTCTGTCATCTGTGTTATATGAACACATTACCCACATACATTCTACCAAACTCACGATGGAAGAAAAAAACAAGTAGATTGGAAAATAAAATTTATAATGCTCAAAACATTTATAAATAATAATAAATAATAAATACATATAATATTTACACTAAAATTAATTTCAGTAACGTAATCGGTTTTTATTTTGTAATCTATGTACAAACTATTAAGTAAATATGTAGCATATAATATGTTTGACAAAGAGTACTTATAAAGCACATAAGAGTATGAGCTTCTCAAGTCATGTCTTTGTGAATTTATCATACAGATGTCTTGTTAAAGATATGGAAGCTAGCCTGGCTATCTTTAATGAAAGATCTACCTCCATACATTAAAATAAACCATGGAAACAAGAAATGCGTTGTTACTCCTGTTTATATGTGATTTTTAACAAACTCTAGTTATAAGAAGAACTGACTATCGATTAAAATATATCAATAATAAATGCTGAATATAATTTTATATATTATAATGCTCTACTTTCTTTTAATTTAATTTAAATCTTCTCTCGTCAATGTTAATTTTCATTTTAAACTATTTTATCTTTCCTGTAATCATTATTAGAGTTAGTTTCGACCACAGACAGTTACGTCATAGTGTCAAGTTTACAGTTGCTTTGTGACTCGTAAATACGACTCTATAATTCCTGATTTATCTCGCCCACTCTGTTTAACTTTGGTCAAATTATACTTTATATATATTAATTTTCTATATTATTCAACTATTTTCGATAGTATATTAATATAATATTTGTTTAGGATAGACATAAGCTTTTTCGTTTTAAAATTATAGCAACGAAAACTCAGCTGAAAATTATTATTAAAATATATTAAAGTAGTAGAAATAATGTGTACTAAAGGATAGGGATACTAGTAAAGAATATAATTAAATAAGAGGTTTTTTAGCTTGATAGTTTTTTTATAAGTTTCTTTAAGGGAACTTCTGTCAGTTTCAAACAATTTGGAAAAAGGGTGTCCTGTGACTACTTCGACAGAATATTAATGAGTCTGAACTGACTTAAATTTACAAATGTGATGAAAGTGTTGAGACATTTCATGCGTATTTAAAACTTGAAGTAATAATTAATTTCTATAAATAATAAATACTAATATCTTTTTATCTACTGATTCGTCATCAGCCTATCAGAGCCCACTGCTGAGCAAGGCCTCTTTCTCACATGGAGAAGGTTTGAGCATTAATCACCACGCTTGCTGAAGATGGGTGGGTGATTTCAAACTTATAATTATGAAACTATAAGTCCAGGTTTCCTCACGATGTTTTCCTTCACCGTATGCCAGTGGGGTCTAAATATTCTCAGAAAGTACATATGACTCCGAAAAATCACATTGGTACTTGCCAGGTTTGAACCTGCGCCCACGGCAACGAGAGGCGGGCCCCTTAACCACTAGGCCACTAGTGGCTGATTATATTATATTATATTTATAAATATTTTTGTTACAAGAGTTCAACTACAGCTATAATTAAAAGTTCAAAAAAGGCCTCAATATATATGTACGATTTTACGTAGTTGACCTAAAAACCATTAAACGGATTTCTACTAAATAGTTCAATATATTCATACTAATAAAAAATAAACAGTTACATTCATGTCTACAAGCGAGGTAAAGGAAATCATAATTATTACAACTGATCATCAACGCTGAGTAAAGAGGTCTTCAAAATATTAGAAAGTTGACAAGTGACAAACATTAATAGCATTTTAAATAGAAAGGGCTACTTACTTTGGCAAAATATTCATCAAATTCAATGTGATTGAAGCCATAGATTAAAAAAAGAAATGTTAAAAAAACAGATAATTATTATAAAAAAATATAAGTGTACTGTTTATTTTATTGATAAATTCAAAACAGAGTAAATAAGAATTAAATAATTTAGTAATAATACGCAACAGAGTCAAAATACACAAAAGGAATTGTTCAAATGTTTGTTGAAGATGTTACGAATTGTAACCGTGATGTTTAGGGATGGTTGGTGGTTTGAAGACATCCAAATATAGGATATAAAACCAGAAGGAATTAATACATTTAAAATGACTATTAGACTCAATTTATTTACGTGAAAACTTGCTAACAGAAAGTTATTCAAAAAAACAAGTAATTTCAATGTAAAGTCAGAATAAAGATTTTTTAAAAATATTTTAAAACTTTAATCCCTTTTGGTCTCGAGATTAAAACGGCTTTGTTTTGAGAGTGTAATCGTCTCTCTCATTAAAGAAATGCCGCGGAAAATCCGCAAAGAATGCTGACTAACAATGTTCGCGGAATTAAAATCTTTTCGAGTCGAAATGTTTAAATTTAATTTGTGTATTTAGATATAGAACTATTAAAACGAAATTAATATTCAATTTACTTTTAAATCTTTTCATTTTGAGATAATTTGAAAGAATTTGAAACGAGTAATATGTATGTAAAAGGTAATACTATTTAATGGTTGATTAATATTAGTTATTGGTTTTAAATTAAAAATATAATGGAATATATAATAATAAATTATATACTGTTATATTTAAAGTGCTTTATTTCAATCAATATATAATAATTATATGCATATTTAGACTGAAAAAAAACAGTGTTTGAGTTCCTCGCATACAAATAACTGCGCCCGGGGAGTATAGGGAAGTTGACTAATCAAAGTTAACTTTGATTTAAATCATGATGCAATTAGTTTCATATATACTTTTATATATTTAAAATCATCTCTAATTATAAACACATATAAACATATATATATACCGTATTCTGATACTTTTTATACGTTATCTATATATATATATATATAAATAATTCCCTTTTTCACTTGGTCAAGACAATGAATGGCAGGACCGATTTTAATAATTTTTTTTTGTATTGTATTTGTTATTTTTATGAGAAGGTTATTATTATGTATTAAAAAATTAAAATTACTAAAATATTTCACTTTTTTTAATAGAGAAATTCACTTCATTGAGATAGAAAAGTAACAGATATTTCTCGATTATAAGGCGTTACGAAGTTCGGCGGGTCAGGTAGTAATTGATAAATATAATAATATTTTACAAGTTTTTTCCTTTTATATTAAAAACTGCAATAAAGTTCCTATTCCTTCAAGTTATCTATATGTAGAACAATAATGTTGTCTACGTAATATTTACACGAACATGTTAGTTCGTTCGTCTTTCTGTTTGTCTTGTGAATGTGGTTTAAGATTTATACAGTACATACAATAATATGTTAAGAAAATTATATTAGATATTTTAGAAGATTATCTATATAAATGTTATTAAAATAACTGAGATCTTTTTAAATCAATACCATAATAATTAACTTGCGATATTTTAATGATAAATATATTTTTCTATGAGACTTTTTTATAACTTTTCCTACCATTATTATTACGAATAATATTTTTTATATGAAATTTATAACTAAAGTAAGAAAAATAAGTCCCTTTTAATATTATTTCACAGCTATAACGGAGACTTCTCTCAGAAGAATTGTCATAATTGATTTTATTAAGATAATTGATAGATAAGTACATTAAAACGCTTTTCAGAAAGAATTATCGGATATTTCAATGATACAGGCCTAACCTAGTATGTAAAAATAACTGTAAAATTTACTGTAAATTGCATTGTTAAGTGTTTTTTCAAAGAAATAAATAAATAAATATAAAATATAATAATGTGTAAAATACTTGTTTTATTTATTTATGTACCAAAATTAGTAGTTACATTAATATAAAAGAAATGTGATGCACAAAATATAACATATATTTTAAGAGTTCTACCAAAAACTCTTTTGATAGAGGTAACTAGAAAAAATGTGGAGTAGGTATAACAAAAAAAAGTACAAAATATTAAAAAGATACATATGAGCATACAAAAAAAATATATAATAGAAAATTTAGATATTATGTCTACATAAATAATTATAATAAAAAATATAAATCTCCTATATATTTTATTAATCAATTCAAAACAGAGTAAATAAGAATTAAATAATTTAATAATAAGACGCAACAGAGTCAAAATACACAAAAGGAATTGTTGAAATGTTTGTTGAACACGTAAAAAAATATAAATAGTATAAATAAATAAATATTTCATATATCATCATGTTTTAATATTTGTATAAAGAAAATAAAGAGAATAGGAAAAATATTTATATAAATAAGAAAAATTATAATAATAAAAAATGTATAGATATACATACATAAATAAATATTACATAAATTATATTTTTATATATAAAAATAAGATTAAAATTAATTTTAATGATGGTTAAGTTTCTAACAAATTACGTTTCTGAAGGTATTATTTGAAATCTCGTAACGGGATATGTGATATCAGGTTGTCCTAATTATTTAAAGCCTTCACGTCTTAAATTATATAGGATTATAATAACTTAAAAAGGTTCACGTAAAATATATTAAAATTAACAAAAGGATGATAATTAAATAAATATAAATATTTTTTAATATTTACTACATATACTTGAGAAATAAAAAAAATATTTACTCACCCAAAAGCCATTTTTATGGTACTGAGTGTTAGTTTCAAGGTGCTACGGTTTTTGCTACGACTGCTACGTCTGCTACGACACGAGTGAGCTACGAGGCTCGTAGCAAGGCTTTTATTTGGGCGGATCAGCCCGCCCAACGAACCGCCCAATGCATAGCCTTCACAATAAATAAATTACAATAGTTGCTTTATAAATATTTAGTTATTTAAATCATTCTTATGGAGTTCCGATATATTGATACATATTTATTGTTTTATAAATAATTTAATAATATCCATGCAGCCATCATTATAGGTGAAAATATTATTTTACTAATATATATATATACATAGTTATATATTTAGTTTTGTAATATAAATTATTAAATTTAATATGGCAATACTGAATTAATATTATCTGTCAATATTACGAGAAATTGTCTCAAAATTTATCAATACTTGCTTGAATAAATTAATTATAATTATATATTAAGAGAGAAAATAAATCTCATATATTAAAACATATTTTTTTCATGTCACTTATAAGTTATTTTAACTTATTTTTATATGTGAATGTTTCTTTGCATTTAAAACTCTAAGGTGGATTCAAAATAAACGGTAATTGAAATAAATGGCGCGTTCTTTGATTTCAATTGACTTGTTCTTGTCTTGGCTTTGAAGAAAAAGGCTTGGCTTTATATATATATGTAGTAATTCTTGTATATCTGTGTATAAAAGCATTAATTTTTGTAGTATGTTTACCACAAGTTGGTATAATCACAGTAATAATGAAGCATTAACAGTTTTTCATACATTATTCTTCTTACAATATACATAGTATTTATTTTTTTGAATAAGAAACGGTTTACAGTGCAGTTTGACGTTAAAAACGTGTGATAAACATAACAATTTAATAATTAAATAATGAGATCTAAGATTTTCACATCTCGTTTACCCGTGATCACGGTTGCTGTAAAGTAATCGAAACGTCGGGAGTATGTAGTTTTTTACAAAAACAAAGTCGCGTAGTATAATTCAAAAAATATTAGTTTCATTTAATATTTAAACATTATATATATTACTTTTTCATTATAAAGTAAATCAATTGTAGTAAAACTTATTCTATAAGCACTCAGTATTAAATGACGTGTGGTTTATATATGAATTAACGAATACTAAATAAACTAGTATTATAATGAAGAGAACTTATCAAGTATACTTTTAAATTATTTATTTATAATCAAGTAACATAGACGAAATTTTTTAAGTAACAATTAAACAACTTATAAAACTATATTGTCATTGATACTTCATTCCATCAGTAATGGAGATTTTAATATGATTTAAAACACCTTTCTTGTAATGAGATTTAAGATTTTCGCGACTATTCATTTAAATTAAACAAATATTTTTCGGATTTACTACGCAATTTCTATTTTCGACTATAAACTACATACTCGCGACGTTTCGGTTACTTTACAGCAACCGTGATCACTGACAGACGAGTCCTTTCCTGTAATCTTTATTTCGTGTATCACCTGATTATTCTTAAACTATTTTATCCAATTCTAATTTAATTTGATATAGCAAATGTTGTCTTAATGCATTGTGTTTGGGTCCAATTTCATTTAATAAAATTAATCTATTGTATAAGAAGGAATTTACATGTTTTAATTCTTGCCTAATATATTATTATTATGCTTACTGATACTAATTTTCATATGTTAGAGCTTCAAGTAAATGGATTTAAGAGCTTACTTACTTACTTCAGCTTACTTTAGAAGTAAATCAAAATCAGAATTTAAACTGTTATTGTCTAAAATGAGACGTAACAAACAGCTGATTGGCTCTCAATATTAGCAGTCAATATTATTTAAATTCATAATTATATGGCTATATGTGATATTCTTCAGTCAGTGGTGGCCTAGTGGTTAAAGGACCGCCTCCATGCACTAAGGCGCGGGTTCGATCCTGGCAAGTACCAATGTGATTTTTCCGAGTCATGTATACTTCTAAGAGTATTTAGACATCACTGATTAGTGCATTCCCAAAGAGGGTTGATGTCAGGGAGGCGGCCGGTCTTAAAAACAATTATCTAAAACTATTCACAACATGTAAGACAGACCCTGGCTAAGACTGGGAAATTGCCAGGTAGAAGAAAATGTCATAAAGTCTACTCAACCTCTAAAATTTTAAATATTAATACTCATACGTCTCTTCATTACGAATATTTACGCACATTCAAATTTGAACCTTATCTCCTTGAACAATTATAATGCTATAATTTCAAAAGACAACTCTTATTACTATATATGTACAGCTTAGTATAACAATTAAATGTAATATCATTTAATTTGATAGTCTCATTAAAGAGGTAATACCTGCTTAAAAATTCCAACGCTAAAAGGTAAAACAAGAATAAAAGTGTACACAGAACATTCTAGACTAAACGGTAGATTTGGCAAGATTATAAGATTAAGAAATACAAAATACAAAAGAATTGAATCTGATATATACAGTAAAAATATATCCCGAATAATATATAGAAAAAAATATATATGTATTTAAATCATGAATATATAAAATGAGAATAGAAATTAACTTTATTTCATTTAAAGAATCGTGTTAACCATAATAATTTAGGATGAAATAAATAAGAAATATATAAGATTTTTCTCTTTATTAATGGTCTAAGTATCAGTTAATTTCAAGTGTTTAACTGTAAACTGTTTAATCGTATATTTGGCAACGAAACAAGCGAGAGATGATTAGAATAATTTTAATTTATGAGCCACTCCAGCGACCTCATGCATAGTAATGGGTACAATAATTATATGCCAAAAGTTACAAGATTTGTTTTGAGATAAGTATAACGAGATCTTGGATGCAGCGGTACAAAAATTATATTTTATGTAACAAGAAATAGGACGTCTTTGATCAATAAAAACTAAGTATTCATTTTGTGAAATTAAAAATATGATTAATTTGAAATATTTTAAGTTTGTATTGCTAACAAAAAGTCATAAAAAGGTTGATATTTTGACAATTATAAAACAATTTTCAATAGTTCTAGAGACTTTTTTTATGGCTTCATTCAGACTGAATTCGAGAAATGCTTTGCCGATTTCAAAGTTTTTATTTGTTGAATGAATTATAAATGTATTTATGGATTAAACATGAAATTCCAGATATTTTGTAAGTTGTAAACAGTTTTTTTTACATAAATATACGCCTACCACGCTAATGACATGCATGTCATATCATATCATTGTCATATCTTATCGTCACTAGCTGTCATTATTCCATTAACTTTTTAATGTCGTTAATTAACCTGAGCGATGACAACTGTTAATCATGTTTACAAATCCCACAGTTAATACGATCAGATTAAAGTTAGAGTACACTTTGAGTTATCAATTGATTAAGGAAAATTGATTTTGTTTTTTTATTAATAATATTTTTTTCCTAAGGTTGTAAGAACAAAATGAGAAGAATATTTGTGTTCTGAAATTAGAGAGTTACATTAACATTTCAAAGTCAATTTAATTTTTAACACAACAAACACTTATTCCAAAATACAGATAAAAAAAATTACAGATAAAAAACGTGCATTATATTCAATGTTTCCACACAATAATATGATCTCAATGATTCTTTTTTATTTATTTCCTAGTTATTCGTATATTATATTTCTAATGTCATTCTAAATATTTTTAAATCATGTAAAGTGGAGCCAATATGAGGATATAACGTCAAGTAATAATTCCAATAATATGTATTATATTGCTTGTAACATGTGAGATATGTCAATAAGTTGTATATCATAAAGTTTCATTTGAAAATTCCTTCTCCTGTACTGTGAGCGTCAAGGTGACTTTTATAGAGTTATACTTGCTTTTAAATGAAAATTATTTAAATAATAATATATTTTATTATATATAATAATAGATTCCGATTATTTACATACTTAAGATGACCTTTCTTTTAAAAATAAATAACGATTTCTAAAGAAAACATAACTAATGTCTCGTCAATTTGTTTTATTATACAAATGTCTTAATAAATATGTACATATTGTTATATTGAAAGCCTTGACGTGGTCAGCAATTTATATTATAATATGAAGAAACTAGAAAGGGTGAACTTTTGACGAATTATTGAACGTAGTAAGATGACAGGAGACGTTATAACATAATAGTATTTTTACATATTTTTCTTTGTAAATGTTTTAACAGCTCTGGATACGAGTCCTTTTGAGCCTTTTTTACATTTTTTATAATAGTGTTGCCCTTTCTTATGAATTAAAATAATTGACGTTTTTTTAAAAATCTTCCTGTATTCTGTTTATCGAATTATCAAGTTCAAAATTTTATTAAAACGTTTGAATTTTGATACTGTTATGTAAATTAAACTGTAAGTTAACAAAATATTTTATAAATGCAGAAGAAATTATCACCATAAGGTGAAATGAAGTTTCATTTCTATAAAAACCTATTTAGATGTTTGATCTGCAAATTTTCGACTGAAGCGACGGTAGTTTGTGCTCGACGTTTTGTGCCTTTTCTGGTACTAATACAAGGCTTACAACCGTCCTTAATCGAATTAAAAGTAAATAGGCACTTCATACAGATTTGTAAATTAATTTTAAAATCCACTTAGATTATATCAAAGCCAAGTTATTTGTAATTTAAGCGAGATTAACTCTTAAATCCACAGCTATATATTCAGAAATAAGTAAAGATTTTTTTAGTATAAGTGTATTATACATCCTTATATCCAAGTTCCAATCACTTTTAAATAATTTATCGCCTGTCAACTATTATAGTGGGTAAGTTCTGTGAAATGTACGAGTACATTTGCGTACCTATTATAATGAAAAGTTATGCAAAGGAAAGTAATTAAGATCGTGAAACCGTCTTTATGACTTCGAAATGAAATATAAAAACGTTCGGAATTGATAAAACAGTTCGTACTTTATGATGATGATATTGGCTTTCGATTTATAACAAAGGGAGAATATCAATTACTGTTAAAGAGAAATTATCTTAAACAGTAGGTACTGAACATTCGAATCGTCATTTACAAGCACTTTTACACGTTTTAATTATTTGATTTTTATTTTATTTTTAAAATAAATTAAATATCTAATATTTACTTAAGCTTTTATAGTATATATAACGTAAAAATTTACTTTGACTTGTATAGTTATACAATGTTTTAGGTATTAGTGTTAAATTTATAAAGACAATAAGAATCTAAACTTAGTGGAATCATCGTTTGATTGCCGCTGACTTGTAATTGAATATCTTAAATTATTTTATTCTCGATCGTTAACAAAATTTTCCATTACTTTTTTTTATCACATAATAAATAAATAAAAAAGAAGAGTTCTTAATATTTAAGAAAAATGAAACTAACTAGAACGTAACTTATTTTTTTATGTAAAACACTACAACATGACATGACGTATTTAATAATTAATATTTTAAAGTTTATTATATTTAAAACAGCATAGGCCAAGTTTGATACGTCACACTACAAACGAAACGTTTTCCGTTTCTCATTCAATAAGCTATGTTACGACTAATATGATGTGCGAAGATTGATAAATAAATACTTTATAAACTCAATACATAGCATTAAGAGCCCGACTAATATAGTATAGTATTTGATAAAACGATTAACTGGATTTGATAAAATCAAAACAAAACCGTGGATAAATGTTTACCTTCTTCTTCCTGGCAATTTCCCAGCTTTAGCCAGGGTCTGCCTTACATGTTGTGAATAGTTTTGGCTAATTGTTTCACGACCGGCCGCCTACCTGACATCAACCGTCTTTTGAAACGCAGTGATCAATGATTTTTAAATATTCTTAGAAAGTACATAAGACTCGGAAAAATCACATTGTTATTTGCCAGGATCGAACCCGCGCCCTCATGCATGAGAGGTTGACCTTTTAACCACTAGGCTACCATTGACTTAGTGGATAAATGTTTACCATTCCTTTTAAATACCTTTAGTGGTTTTATAAAGAACAAGAAATTTAAATATTAAGTAAATTTGTAAGAGTTGTAAGTGAAAATAAATGTGGACTTAGAATCCTTGACCCACCCTATAACATTATTAAGATTCATTGGTTCAACTGTGAGTATACACGTTTCCTACTTTGTTTTATATTGGATTGAAAATAGACACTCGTAAGAATGGTTGAGAGTAAAACTAAATGTTTGTTCCGATTTATTTTTAGGAACTCATAGAGTGAAACAGAAATGTGCATTGTGAATTAAGATCTGTGTGTACAAAAAAAAATTCAGCAATTTATGGATAGTTGAACATATTACCTGCGCTTGAATAAATATAAATATGTGTTGTTGACGTTGTTTTATTAGTATTATTTGGCTAATTTTGTGTACAGGAATAAAAAGTACCGACGTCGATTTGCCCATCATTCATGAAATAAAACTTTTCAAATTTGGTTAGGTAGAGAGAAGAGCTTGGACAGTGAAGGCGAGCGTTTAACGCGCGTTAGATAGGGCCCCTTAAACCTACACCTGGGTCACAAGTCCCAGGCACTGTTGAAGCTCCTCTCATTACAACGATGGACCCGGCACCCGCACGGGGAATCCGTTGAATGCTATGAGCTTTCGTCTCTATAGAAACGTGGAGTTTTGCTTATAGGTAAAACTAATTTTGTCACCTGTACCATATTTCTGGAATGTAATACAAAGTTACATTTTTATTTGAATTCAATATGACATTTAAAAAGTTTTTTATACGATAAAAATAGATATAGTTTTTTAATATGGAAAGGTCGTCCAAAGTAATTTCAGACAACATATTACGTTCGTACATATAGCATTATATAACACTGTATTCTATACAATACTACATCTTTATATTGAATATTACTTATTTGATACTACATTTTGTCCGAGACTTCGTTCGCGTTAATTACGGAATTAGTAACATATGTACATATTATAGCTGACCGGTTGAACTCTATTGTGCTCTAGAGGCCATAAATAATTAATCAGATATTTGATTATTTTTTTTCGATAAAACAGAATTAAATATTCTATATCCGTCTCCTAGTTCTAAGCTATCTCCCTACCAATTTTCAACCATATCCCTATAGCCGTTCTTGAGTTATAAATAGTGTAACTAACACAACCCTCTCTATATATGTAAATTACATTTGAAATAAAATTAACAGTTTTCAAAAGTCAGGTAAATGAAAACAAAACACATATATCAAAAGTGTTAATATAATTATAAAGTTGAGGTTATTCAGCACCTTGTGTCCTTCACCTCGCGCTATCCAGTCATGATAAGCTGATACTCTTGTGTAGAGGGTAGTCTTGTCAAAATTCTTCCCACTGACCACCCCTACTAATAAATCACGATTTGATTCCTCTTTAGGGTCTGGTGTACCTTTACAAGCTAAAGGCCCGCCTGAATCTCCTCTGGACACATCACTGAACGCTGATGCTGAACATACGAACGTGTTCATATTCATTTCCCAAACCCTGGAGCATCTCCATTTGGGCATAGTCTCTATCCTCGCTATGAGTAGTATTGGAGAGATGGGATCTGTCCAACCGAAGCCAGTTCGACCATAGCCAGCTGCTATACAGCTCCTTGTATAATCCAAGTTTTTGGACGCTGGGACAATATAGTCTACGTTGCTCCTGAATTTAAAATTCTCACTCACGTATACGAGAGCCAAGTCGTTGTTGGGGAAGTGGAAATGTTTGTGGAGTACCACCTTGGATATGTTTCTCCACTGGTTGATAACGTTCGTCTCAGTTTCTCCTGAATGCGCTACATCGTTTCGGAGGTTTCCAGCCACAATCCGCAGGTAAAATGGATTTCTCTCGTAAAAGAACTTCCTTCCTTCAAAACAATGCGCGGCTGTTAATACTTTCGCCTGCCCTATAATGCTGCCTCCGCATAAATTCTTCCAAATCGTCCTATCCTTGCCTATTTTCTTTATAGGCTCTTTTATCGAAACTAAATATGGTATTTGTCCGCTTATAGCTGGTTCTCCATTCACTATCGTCGGCTGTACATAGTAATTTGAATATTTCAATGTTGTTATGACCCGCTGGTCGGGCTCGCATGTTATTTGTAAAATGATGTGAAAAATTACACACGATTTAGAAAACATTCAGAATTATTTACTTTATTAATTTCAGATATCCATATATTTGACATAATATATAGTGAGAACTAAACGTCGATATATAGATGCCAAATAGTTAGGTTTCTAAAGAAGTGTAGTTTTTTATAGATAATTTTATCGATATTTTATTACGATGAATGTTAATTACCACTAATAAATATTAATTTATTTAAGATAATTTGCAATCATTGTTCTATTTAACAAATAAGTCTTATAATTCCACCGAAATGGTTACAAAGTTGCTAGAAAGTGCAGATTAGTAAACAAATTATGTGATCGTCAAAGTAAATTGAGAGTTACGATGGCGACGCAATAATGTTCGACGTGGTTGTATTACATCTATTACCGTGTTACACGAACGCTACTGGAAGAACAGCGATGTAATTAATATATTAATAAATTTATTGATATAAAAACTTTTTGGTGTGTTTGTGTTTTGTTTTTTTTTTTAATTTCAAAATCAAACTTACTTTCTAAATATTGAGCCGAGATTCCTTATTATTCCATGCGTGATGAGATTTAAAGATAAAAAGTTATGTTTTATATTAAAGCTGGATAAATTAATAATTTTCATCAATATTATTACTACAAATGATTAAAAATATATTAATAGGTTTATATTTTATAACTTTTATGCATAACTAGAAAAAAAATTCTCAGCAATACAACGAAACTATTCATACCAGCATAAAAAAATATTTTATTAAAGCACGGACAAAGCTGTAAAAAATCAACTAGCGTGTAATTATCGCGGGGGTCACTGAATCCCGAAATCGTCACATCAAAGCAAGCAAACGCCTGGTGCGAACGAAAAATAACAAAATTAATTTTAGAATTGCAATTATATTACCTCAAAGGGCCAATAACGAATTACAATATTTCCTTGGAAACATTTTTTTCCTTTTAATGTTCGAAACGTACTTAATAAAAGAGCATTTGTTTTTTTTTTTAATATTTATTAGAATTTAAGCTTAACTTGATTAAATTTTATAGGTATGAATTTGTTTCATTTAAAAATGTATATATGTATATTATAGGTTCAAATGAAACGTCATCATTTCAACATTATATTTATTATATTATATAAAATGTTAAAACAGCATTAAATGTTTTAATAAAATATTTTGTTAATACTTAGGCAATACAATAGTCATTAAATTCCATAAAATGAGGTTACATTTCATATGTTTCGTTTATATTGTATAGAAATTTTTTATTTGTCCCTTTGTTATCGGTCTAAAATCTATCCTCTTAAATTTAAATGTCTCAGTTGAAAATATTTTTCGTTATATATTTTACTTCTTCATATTTCTTTCCGGCGATCTAAATTCAACTCTAATTCAATACTATAAAGATCTAAATTTAATTGATGTTGATTAAACTTGTCATTTTTTTTTCAAATCCTACAAGAGAATTGTTACTACAACACTATCGAATACCTTTATATCTTTGTTTAATCAAAATTCCATACAATTCCATCTTTTTCTACACATTTTCATGTTTTTTATTACATTCCTTAAAGCTATATCAATGATTTTGGATTGACATAATTTTTTACCATTAGAAGCACTAGGTGCTAATGATTTATGATTTGGTTTTTGATATTTTACTTAATATTTTTTTTACTTAATAAATGTATACAAAAAGCTTACAACACAACCCAAAATCATTTATCAATTACAGTAGTTATATACACTATATATGGAATGATAGTTATTTGTCTTGCAGTTGCACGTAGTTGGCTGGGAATAGACCGTAAGCGCCCTTACATAGACCCTGCCACCAGCCTTCGTCGATCTGTTGATAAAATAACGATACACTTATTAAAACAAAGGTAGAGGGGATAAAAAGTGGAGGGGATAAAAAGTGGAGGGGGTAATTGATAAGAAATTTTATATATATATATGGAGTTTGTATGATGATTGCTGACTTTATAATTAGTCTATCAAAGCCCACTGCTGAGCATGCATCTCTAACATGGAGAAGGTTTGAGCATTAATCACCACGCTTGCTCAAGACGGGTTAGTGATTTCAAACTTATAGTTTGAATTAAGTCCAGATTACCTCACGATGTTTTCCTTCATCTGTCAGTGGTGTCTAAATACTCTTATAAAGTACACTAGCTTCCCGCCCGCAGCTTCGCCCGCGTTCAGTTCGGTTATATCGAGTTTCCAAGAAAACCTTTCAAAAGTCTGGCATAAAAACTATCCTATGTTCTTTCTCAAGATCAACTCTGTCTATACCAAATTTAATTAAAATCAGTTCAGTGGTTTAGGCGTGAAAGCTTAACAGACAGACAGATAGAGTTACTTTTGCATTTATAATATTAGTAGATTCGGAACATTCACATTGGTACTTGCCAGTATAAAACCCGCGTTCTCATACATGAGAGGGGGGGCTTTAATCTAGGCTACCCTTTATATGCTGTCTTTTTTTTTTTGTTTTCCCAGGGGAAATCTGCTCATAGATACCCGGCCGAGCGGGGACTTGACCGGGTCATGTGGGGTTTAGACCCACTAAAACCCCTATTGCTAGTAGAAAACTTTATATGCTGTCTTACCATCACGATGTTGGTGATGAGATCATCAGGGTCGAATGAGATCTCATCGGGCGCGGCCGCCTGATAGTCATACAAGGCTCGGGCCGTGTATCCGTCTTCATCATCAGCATCCGTTTCACAAGCCTCGCCTTCACCCTCCCAGCCGACGGGAGACACCACTATGGTCGGCTGGCGAGGATGCTGTATGGAAATATAAGAAGATTTATGATAAATAGTGGAGCATTTATATAATGATAGGTAGAAAAGCTTGGACAGTGAAGGTGAGCGTTTAATTTTAGATAGGGGCTTCTTAAACCTACACCTAGGTCGCAAGTCCCAGTCACTGTTGAAGCTCATCTCACTACAACGATGGACCTGACACACGCACCGTGAATACATCGAGTGACGAGAGGTTTCGTCTCTAATTTTTTAAGTCAAAATCATCTAACAATTGTTTGCCTTGTTTGTCTAATTTGGCTCAAGATGTCCCTATATAAGATTGGTCGCCAAAGTCTTATGAAATCACTTTCAAAAACTTTTATTCTACAGAATTTAGTTCAAGTACTTTTTCATACGTTTTTGCATAACTGTTGCTCTTTTCACATTATATATGAAAATAAAATGTATGTAATGCAAAATTTAAATATAAGCGAATTTAATGAGCATCTGTTTATAACGATGATAACAAATATATCAAAATAAACCTTATTTATCAAAATAAATTGTATTAATAACAGTTATAGCAAAAGAAACATTTATAAACATATACCGAACACATCCTGCGATATTTTTAAGTCAATTTAAAAACTATAATATCAAACCAATATACGTGATAATTATCAATAGATTTTGTATGGAGCTCTTTAATATTTTTTAGTGTAATATGATCCTTCTTACCTCTTCTTTCTCATTTTCTATATTATCTCCTACTAACGTCACATCCGGTAGGTTAGTCTGCTTCACTTCTCTCTCGTGAACAGTCTCTTGTGTAATTTCTTGCTTCACTTCTTGCTTAATTTCTTGCTTCATTTCTTGCTTTACTTCTTGTAAGTCTTGTCCAGTCCCTACTATATTATCTTCATTCTTCTTAAACACGTTCGTGACCGTTTCTTCTTTATTTTGTTCCTTTTCTTTTTCCAGACGTTGTTTTTCCTGTAGATTATGTTTTTATATATATTTCAATAAAATTACAATCTTCATCAATTTTATGATGGAAATATGTACATACTTTTTCTGACAAACTACGATCGAGCTGTTGCCTCTCCTGCCTTAATTTCTGAACGGATTGTAGAGCTTCCTAGAACAAAAAATATATGTTTAATTCAATCTTTTAAATATATATAACAAAAAATCTCTTATTATTTTCTTAAATCAAAGATCGATGAAAAAATTATACCCGTTCTAGATTTGAACCTATCCTATATGGATGAACTTTTCACACTTATTTTTTTTTATATATAAGCTAATATATTCAATACTAGAATAAAACATATAATCATTGTACTCCACACAATAAGTTACAACGACCAAATAATACATATTTTTATCCCAATCAAGTCCCATACTAATAAAGCTAATATATCTATAAGAGCACCCTGTATAATACAGGCTGCTCCTATAAACTGAACACCCTATACCTGTTCTTTTTCCTTGGCCATATTTTCAAACTTGGCGCGTATAGAACTAGGTTTAGCGCCACCTATGTCCGGTCGAGGTCTACTATATCCGCCTGATTTCTCAACAGAGTCGAAACCTTGAGCACATTTATCCACTCTATCGGTTTGAACACCGAATTTACCGCCGAAACCCTGAAATGACAAAAAATATTTACTATATGAATTAAATTGTATTATTATTATGTAATTTTGAGTATTATTATTATTATTACGAAAAGGACTACTTTGGACATGTATACATAGTGGCTTATCGTCGGGGATAATGCAAATCCGAGTAACTACCATTATATAATTCCGCGTATTTACATTGAAAGCAGATTATCAGAAGAAAGTTTGAGTTGAAATATTTTATATATTAACAACTTTTAAGGTATTTTTTTCACAATTACTAATAAATTAAACACTAAATAATTACTAATCGTGAAATAATAACGTTAATAATCGTTAACATACAAAATATTTCAGCTGAAACTTTCTTCTAATAATCTGCTTCCAATGTAGATACGCGGAATTATCCAATGATAGTGACGCGGATTTACACTATCCCCGACGATATGTACATTTCATACACACACATACCCATGTATGAAAGACACATATGTAACAGTAACATATTAACTGTCGTATCAGTTACATATGTCCGTACCTTCTTATGGTCCACTTGACTAGCGTGAGCCTCCGTCTTCTCCTGGTGGTCCCAGCCCACTGCGGACGCGTCCTGTCTGTCCGTCTGCACACCGAACTTACCACCGAAACCACGGGAGTAATCTGTGTACAGTTAACCAATTAATAAAATCTATATATATAAAAATGAATTTCTGTTCGTTAGTCTCGCTAAAACTCGAGAACGGCTAAACGGATTTATCTTACCTTAGTCTTGAAATGTTCGTGGAGGTTCAGGGAAGGATTAAAAGCTGAAAAAATTGATTAATTTCGGGAAAACCCTAAAACAGCGCTTTTCTATTTCCCATACAAATGTTTTTTTTACATTAGATTTGACAACTAAATAATATGTCAATCATTCTGTCGCACTTCAGAACACGGATATTTATGGCTTATAGATAAACTCAAAAAAAAAAGAAATAAAAATAAAATATTTATCGTTTGAGGCAGTACGAAGTCTGCCGGGTCATCTAGTTAATTGATGTAAATGACATTCAACAATATGGTAAGGGTACAGTATACACTGTAACGCTATAGTTATTATAAATATATTTTATTATTATTTAGTTATTTCAATCAGAAATCGTCCACATGTTTATATAAACGTATATATAATTGTAAACCTAGCAAGTTGTATTTAGTTGGACGTGTAAAACTTGGTAGGGGTATGACAGTATCGTGGTAGGGGGAATAGGAGTATCGTGGTAGGGGTACGGGAGTATCGTGGGAGTGGTGTGTGTATATTTCCGTCTCTGTCTCTCACCAGTCTGCGACTCATGTGCCGCCGTGGGTTCCTTGTGTCCCCAGTCCGCGGCGCTAGCGTCTTGTCTGTCGACCTGTACACCGAACTTCCCACCGAAGCCCACCGAGTAGTCCTTCTGTGATGGATGCTTCTCTATCTGCTCCTTGTGTTCCCAACCAGCGGCGCTCTGGTTACAAAATATAATAAGACAAAAGTTACATATTATATAAATGAATAATATGTTTGTCAATAATATAAATTAATATTAAATTTACTTCTGCTTGTTGTATTTAAAAGTCCTAACTTAGAGTGATTCAGAGGAGTGTTACATATATTTGATGTTATATATATTTGAAAGATAACGTATATATATATAATTTGACTACCAAGAATGTATTCAGTGAGAAGCGATGTTAAAAAACAAGTTGACTTTAGTGAGGGAATCTTTTTTGAATATTCAACAGTAATTAGTATTATTAAAGAAAACACTCTTTAATTTATGCATTTTGCATCAAATATCACTTTGTTGTATTTCATAGAATCTCACAATAATTCTCACTGGTTGCTCAATCTTTACATCATGTCACTAATTGTATCACAAAATTTCTAAAAACATGAAAGTAGGTTTAATCATTTGACTACAGCCAGAAACCCAAGATCCGGATTAAAAGATTACCATATATTATCCAATACTACTATCATTTAACTTTTCTATACACACACATACGTGAAGTGTAAGAAGCTTTATTCGCTTACAACTATTGACTACGAGGAAAGCAACACATCCAACTTTATCCCCACTCTAAACCCCCTCCCTACCTTATCAACTCTATCAGTCTGTACGCCGAATTTCCCTCCGAATCCTCTACTATGGTCAGTTTGTGAAGCGTGTTTGGACACAACGCCAACATAGTCGTGACCCACAGCGCTGGCGTCCATACGGTCAGTTTGAACGCCGAACTTACCGCCGAAACCTGTAAGATGATAGTTCATATTATAAAGTATTCAATAATGGGAAATGTATATACCAATAACACTAAATACTTCAGTTGTGCCTAGTATACATACTGTCACATGATTATATTAGATGATAGTTCATATTATAAAGTATTTAATAATAGGAAATGTATGTACCAATAACACTAAATACTTCAGTTGTGCCTAGTATAAATACTATGTCAGATGATTTTATTATTCAGTACTTAAATACTCAATTAAACAGACTCTTGCAATTGTAATCTTGTTATTTCACGTCTACTAAATATAAATAAATTGCCATACTATACGCACAGATTGAAACGCCACTAAAAAAGGAACCATTTTAAAAAATTGCATATAATTGGAAAACTTATCTGATCTACGATAGTCACTCAATATGATTTCCCCTTTGTAGTAGATGATTAACAAAATAATAATGGTTGAATGTGAGATTGAGTTCTTAAAGGATGTACAAGGAAAATGTAACATAATTAGTTCTTTAAACATAAAAATAATAATGAACATTATGATAATTTTTCTCTATTAATTATTTCTTATATTGATGAATTTTTAGTAAATCAGTTAAGTTTTATTTTAAGGATATACAAAACACAGAGAATGACTTGTTATTAAGAGAATTTAATCCTATTTATTACTAATAATACTTATTAAAGTTATAATCATCTTGTATGTACCTTGTGCGTAATCTTTTTGTGACACATGCTTCTCTGTTTTGCCGATGTAATCATGACCTACCGCTGATTTGTCCATCCTATCTTGTTGGACACCAAATTTACCTCCATAACTGAAATAACACATTTATTATTTTTATAACTATATTCAATCGTATATTATGTATATCACTATGTTCCAAATCTAATATAAACCGTTTTTTAGATACAAAAATATATTAAAATTACTCTCACCTACAAAATTGTAGTTAACCAAAATAGAGTTGTTAATTTTTCACAAGAACTAGAATATATAGTGTATGCATATAAGATAGTAATCATATTTTTCTATAGTAACATTACCCATATGAAGGTTTTGGTCCTTCCTCATACTGCTTTTGTTTTATTTGCTTATCTGCTTCCAAAACTTCCTCCCTAAGTTTAGCCATACTGAAAAAAGTTTTATATATTTTAACCATCACATATAGAAGGTCAAAAGACATAACATATTAAACATATTAGTTATATATATGTTTCAATATCAGAGTACATTACCCCAATGACTCAGTGATATACACTTCCGTTTCAAACAACAAAACTGAACAGGGTCAATGAACATCAATTATTATAAACAAAGTAACAAAAACCTAGGAATACTGTGTTTTACTAGATAAAGTAATATTCAAAATCATATTACACTGCTTCAAGGAAGTTGCGATTGTTCTAGAACTGTTTGAAGCTTAATATAAAAAGGAGATATAACTAATTAATATTGTCGGGGATAGTGCAAATCTGTGTAACTAGCATTGGATAATTCTGAGCATCTACATTAAAGCAGATTATCAGAAGAAAGTGTAAGCTGAAATATTTTTTATATTAATGACTTTTAAGGTAATTTTTTCACAATTTAGTAAAAAATTACCTGAATAGCTGTTAATATAGAAATATTTCAGCTTACACTTCCTTCTCATAATCTGCTTCCAATATAGATACACGGAATTATCCAATGGTAGTTATGCATACTTGCACTATCCCCGACAATACATATAGTGAATTATAAGAAGTATATATTAATATCCTTACTCAATAGCTTCAACATGTCGTCCCCCCGGCCCCCAGCGTTGCTCCTGCTCGGTAACATCATTCACAAAATCGGGATCTGTTTCCCAATCGTCAGCCTCGGCAGGTGTGGGTGCCACTATATCTGTGGCCGCTTTCCACATCTACAATATTATATAGTTAACTTATTTATTAATTATAATTACAAACTGTATGCTTTTTTATATCAATAAGCTTAAAAAAATGTATTCCAATACAAAAATTGATGTCTTGTTGATTTGTTGTATGTAGTAGATATAAATTTTAATACAAAGATGATGATCATACCAACAGTGGATTTATTACTTAATGATTTATTATATTATATAGTATCTATAATACTTGCCTCATTCTTATTTTTATCAATATCCAACATAAGATCAAAGCGACAAATAGTTCAATACATCATTATACTTAAGAATTTGGTTTTGTAAAACATTATTTTCAAGTTAATTCATATATTAATTACATTAGACATATAAATATTTATATCTCTGTAATATTTGTTAGTTATACAGGAAACAATGGTGGTTGGATTTAATAGAAATTTAGTAAACAAATAACTTTATATGAATTGAGAAATATAAAAACAATTCCAGTACTCAACATGAATCAGTTCATTTTGTATATAGTTTTATAACAGATAGTTGAAAACGACATCTGGTATGCATATGCTGAGCAAATTCATTTGTTACATAGCTTCACTTCTAATTCTGTTATTAACAGCTTCATTTAAGAAAACAAATATTTTATATAAATACTCCTTCATTTAACAGTTCCCAGATATTCTGTACATCTTTATAATACATTATCTCCATTTTCAAAAAACCCTATCGTTTCTTATCAGCACAAAATATAATAAAATATGCATTATTTTGGATAATATAAAGAAGGAAAGCGTAGGGCTAAGTTATAAATTTTTATACAAGATTCATTTAAGGTCCTCTTTATTGTTTACACATTAGCTGCATTTAAATATATTCTTATCTCATAGAAAAAAATGACGAAAGTTTCACATACCTTTAAAGAAAGCCGGTTTCTAAATGAAAGTTAATTTCTATTATCTTTAGCACAGAACACAATTGAGTTTAATTTTTTGTATGACTAGGGCGTTTATTCATATTTTTTAAAAATATTTACTAATGGGCTGGGTTTCAGGATTAGGGAAAACAACTTGTTACGAGTAAGGAGCAAGATGCGTCACAACGATTTGTCATAAATAGTGTCAGTGTCACATAACACTCATCGCACTGACATTTAACGGGAACTGCCTACTTTCAATGACTGCATTTTAAATTCTTATGATTATTTATCTGTGGTTGTCATAATAACTAAAATAAATTTAACAATCATTTAATTACAAACCCAATGTAATATATAATACAATTAAAATACAAGCTGTTAAAAGTTGCTGATATAACAATTACTAGAATAAGTAGTTACATCAACTCAATTAATAAAGTATGGAATAAAAAACATATATTATGCTTATTACAAAAAATTAAATGCTTAAAAGTAAGTACTGCGAAAAATATTACTAGAATTAAGAGAATAAAATATAATCCTAGTTGAATGCCATAATTAAGGAATTAAAATTACCAATAAAATATTATGCATAAATAGAAAATGAAAAAAGTGGTCTGATAAGCAAAAACCGACGGAACATAGATTGTCTAATCGCTTTCCGAATTTTACATGATAAAAATAAGAAATGTTGAGTTTGTACTGTTTTGAAACAAGCGTTTTAATAAACTCTATTACCAATACAATCACTATGTAGAAAGAATACGAACTTTAAAAATGTAATATAGCAAGTAGGATTTTTACGAAAGTGCTTCTCTTAAAGGTTTAATGTGTAAAGTCTAAACTGTAGACAGACAGACACCTATAGACATAATTTTTAAATATTATAATAAAAATGAATATGTATAAGTAAATCAACAATTCGATGATTTTAGGATAGCTGTCGTCACATTGCATGTGGTATAAAGAATCTTCTTTTAAAAACTAAAGATAATATTGTGGATATCATTTGGGTTTCCGTTAATTTTATTGGAAAAATTTCACAAAACGTTAAAAACATAATTTTTTGAATAAAATTTCTGAATTTCTGAAAATTGATCAATCTCATCTATCCGTTACCATGGTTACTGTTAAGGATCCGAAACTTCGACATTATGTACATACAAAATAAAAATAGACTTGTAGTTACCGAAAAACTAAGTTTCATTTGAATCGAAGATAAATACAATACTAATCAATCCGAAATGATACCGGAAATTTAATTTTCGGATTAATGATATATATTTTTTTATTTTTCGTCTAAAAACCGGTAATTTCTTATTAAAAGTCATGTAGAAACCGATGATTTAAGAAGGATTTCTCTAATTTCAAGTTTTTTCGTAAAAAACTACAAGAAGAGTAAACTTTTAGCTCTTAAATACAATTCTGTACCGTAGTGAAAGTTATTTTAAGCCAAATGCGAAGTTAAGCAAATAATGATGATTGTAAAACGTAACTAGAGATACAGATATAAAAAGATTTTATTTTTTATCAAGTATTACGTGATAGATTAAAATTATTGAGGTAGATAAATAAATAATACAGTTTTAAGAAATTTTATTTATTAATTTGACTTATTTTATATCTATACCTTTACAATTAAAATACTAAAAATTATAATAAAATAAAAGAATTGAATAAATACATCGTCATAAACAATCAGTACGTTAAAATGTACATAAATTATAATAATAATTGTAATGGAATGGAATGAAAACAATAGGAAGTCTATTTACATTAACGCTTTATATTTTTCGTATGAGTTTTAATTTAAAACAACATTTGTTATTTATTTGAAACTACATTTAGAATTCGATTTGGGTATATCTTGTTAACATTTTCAATACTTTAATTTGTCAAACATTTTCCCGTGAATGATTTGTCGTGGATTCATTTAAATTATAATAATATAAATAAATGTACACCAAGTGAGTTGAATCAAAGACTACAGTTATTATATTTACTTGAAATTAAAAATAAAGTATGAAAAAGAAATTAGTAACTACAGACACCTAAGGTAAAAGTACCAGTAGATGACCACTTAAGGAGACAGAATATTCTTTTTAAATGTTTGACTTTAATTATCATATGAATTCAGTAAGTTTCTTTTTTGGGAAACCCTGTGAAAAGTGTTTTAACATATGAACTCGTATTTCACCACGTAAAATGGACGAATAAAATTAAAAAAAAAATAAAAATATTCTAATGTTAGAAATTTAGTGGTTGACCATCTAAAAACTAGAAGATGACCATATTTTGCATCAGTAGTTGACCACTCAGATGCTACAATTTTAATTGGGTTATTTGTTAAATAAAAAGCAAAATAAGACGAAAAGAAAACGTTTTATTTGAAATATAATAATAATTAGGCCTGGACACTATATTCCAACTCCTTATACACACGTTTGTACCATTCTGATAGGTGATCACCTGTAACATTGGCTCTCGATGCTGTCAAATTTTGTGATATCCTCTTGGAAATGGTTGGATTTCTCCGAATAAAGGCCTTTATCCATGTTCTACCTGGTCTTCCATGCTTGAATAAGACACATGGACGTTTTATTTCCTTTAAGTATTGCTCTACACTCACAATTAACTGTTCGGTTGTCACAGGAAAACCCGCTTTTGCCATTTTTTTGCACCCAGTTGCATATTTTATGCTCCTCTTCTGGTGTAAGGATGGATGTCGGACCCATTTTTCGTTCCATCGGTGACGTCCCTTTTACTTTATTTGTAAGCGTTATTCTTGGTACACCGAACTTTTTGCAGCCGTTCGTATTGGTGTTTTATGAAGACGAACATCGTTCACTGCTGCAAGCATTGCAGCTGTAGTATAATTTAGGAATGCGCCCCTTTTCCCAGGCAACTACAAGATGAAAATTGGTTTTAGTAATAAGTAAACCATAGCCATAAATTTCTACCATACAGTTAGTCAACTACTAAGGAAAATCAATATATTGTTAAAGTAAATAAAATAGTTTATTTTAATTAATTATTATATGCAGCATATTTACAAGATACAGAACTTAATCAAAAGTTGACCACCATGGTCATTTACCAGAAAATTATACTCAATCTGTTATTCGGTAATGGACCACCATGGTCAATTACTAGAAAATCACAGTCAAACGGAATTAGTATTGGACCACCCCCACATCTCAATTTTGTCAACAAATCTTCAAATTTTAATTAGCCTGTCATATAAATAAACCATAAACGAATAAGAAACGAAAAACACTTACCGTCAACAAGGTGACAAAGTTCCTAGTATTTAGCTTCAAACTTTTTCAGTCTTTGCGAATATTGTAACAACAAACGAATTTATTGATTTTATGGTCCGTCACTCAACAAACAATTGGCAGCCACTTTCTATATTTTACAGATATGGATGCGCAATTTTCGCTCTTAGTTGACCAGATAGCAGATCTGACTACTTATTAACGAATGAGTTTTAAAAATTGCCGCGAATTCTTATTATAACGGTTTATGTGCATTAGTGGTCAACTACAGGTACATGGTCAACTACTAGTGAGTTTACCTTATAGATAAATATATATATTGCATAGCACTTATTATTAAAATTATAACTAAATTTATATAAATTATTTATTTTAATTTTCCTGATAAGAAGATATTTTTATTGAATTATTTAAATATATTTATATCTATTAAACAATATATATTACATTTCGGGGTCCGGTGCATCAATAGCGTATCCAAATTTTTGTAAAGCGACCTTTATTTCGCCGAATACACTCGGATCTTCGATGGTAGCTGGCAGTTTTATCTGCTGACACCTGGCTAATCTTGATATAGCTCCTCTCAAAGCCTTTCCAGATCTTGTGCGAGGTAGTGCTGGAACCGCTACAGCCTTCCTAAAAGCTGCGATGGGTCCAATCAAGTGTCTCACCAATGCTATGAGCTCTTGGGTAACTGTGCTCTCTGACACCATTTCTTCGTCTGTATGAAAATTACGAGAAAGAATTAATTATTAAAAACACAGTCATGGCGTTTACTAATGGTGTGAAAATTTGTATTTCAAATGATCAATTTATCTATCATCAAAGTGAGGCGAAACCTCTTATCATTCAATGTAATCACAGTGCGGAGACCGCGTCAGTCGTTACAGAGAGAGGATCTACAACAGTGCCTGGGACTTGCGACCCAAGTGTATGTTTAAGGGGCCCCTTATCTAACGCGCGTTAAACGCTCACCTTCAACGTCCAAGCTCATCTATACCTAACCAAATTTGAAAATAGCCTACTAGGGCTGCCTGCTAATTTATACAAAGAAAACATAATTAAAATAGAAAGATTATTATATGATTATGTTTTTTTTTTAATGTAAGTCTTTGTCACGACATGACAGTCTTCGAAGAAACTGCTACATGGAAAGTTTAATAAATGATAATTTATCCTCAAATTCTCCCTACATCGATGTGAAAGAACTTTGGTGTCATGTATACGTGTATAGTGACCTAAACTTTTTCCGTCAGCCAATGAACTCTGACTTACAATACCCACTTTATTAAGTAACAAATTACTTGATACTATTAAAGAACTATGCAATATTTTGAATTAATAGTTACAATTGGCATTAATATTCAAAGAAATAAATGAATCCGACACAAAATTAACATAAATGTATTTTTAACGGGTCCAAGGCATTAACCATATTGGCCTCTTTTGACGTCCAATCAATAAACAGTTCATTTTTTTTTATATCATTTCCGTGCAGCTTAAATATTCCTATACATTTTCAATATATATTTGTGTGGAAATGTTACTATATTAATTTTATTCAATTTTACGTTATATATATTTTAGGTTATTACAATTTTACGTTACATAATAAATCTCAATACTAAGTAATGATATCTAAGATTTTAGCGAGTCTTATGCCTTTAAATCAAACTAATATTTTTTCCGATGTACTACGCGACTTTATTTTTGATATGAGTGAACTCACGTCTCGTCTGCCCGTGATCACGGTAGATGAAAAGTAACCGAAACGTCGGGAGTATGTAGGTTATTATCAAAAATAAAGTAGCGTAGAATTTCCGAAAAATATTAGTTTAATCATGATACTAAATCTCAATGACGATATTAATAGTGAATTAGTAAAATATTTGATCAAAACTAAACGAAGAAAGATGAAATTATCAAAAAAACTGCTATCACTATAATTTTTCTTACATAATGCATCAAAGGCACTAGAAGATGTGAAAATAACACTGTTTTCAAGTTTAATAACTAATTTCGACTTTATACTTTATATGGCAAAGAGGGGTTGATGTCAGGCAGGCAGGTCGTAAAAACAAATAGCCAATACTATTCACAACATGTTAGGCAGACCCTGGCTAAAGCTGGGAAATAGCCAGGTAGAAGAAGAAGAAGACTATAAGGCAAAAAAATAGCATTCTTACCGTCTTGTGGGGGACGCATGACGTATAGACAAAGAGGGACATCCCCTTTAGTAGGATCAGGGGCTCCTACCACTACAGCATCAGCTACTCTTGCGTGTTTCAGAACAACGTCTTCTATGGCAGCTGTTGAGAGCCTGTGGCCAGCGACGTTGATGACGTCATCAGCTCGAGCCACCACCCAAACAGCTGATTCAGCGCTTATCCAACCAACATCTTGAGTATCGTAATAACCCTGATATGAGAAATGCCAAAGCATTAGATTATGCAAATGCCACCAAAAGGCAAATCTCTTTGTGGCATTTGCATTATATAACAGTTAAACAACGATGGAGATTAATTTCATATGATAAAAAGTAATAATACAATGAAGGTATAACCAAGAAATTGATATATTATACATATAAAAAAAATTATATATACTAGAGAAATTTGTATTAAAAAACTATATTACCGGATAAGCGTCGAAGTATACTTTCTTAAACCGCTCATCTGATTGCCACAATGTTGAAGCGAATCCTGGAGGCAGAGGTAGTTTTGCTACCAGACGACCAACTTCTCCTGAATTACATTCGGTACCATCCTCTCTAAGAGCACGTACTGGAAAGAAAGACCACTTAGTATGTAACATGATTTAATAATAAATACTTCGGGAGCAGTAAGTAGGAATTTTGCCCCAATCTTTTATAAATGTTGTTATGTAAAGAACTAGAGAACTTTTCATATAAAATGGAAACCTATGATTCTTAATATTTAATTTATTAAAATAAATAATAGTGTGCGAAGAAGTTAAACTTCGTAATTATAAAACAATTCTTATCAACTAAATTTTAAAATAAAATACTGATCTATTAAATTATATGCGTATCAAATGAAAAAAAATTATATCAAAAATATTTTAATATATATCAAGAAGTACGTATTCTCTATCTCACTATTTCTCTCTCCTACTTTCTACATATTATATCATCTTTCTGATTCAAACAGCGTAAAACTTTTAACGCAACCTTATTGGAAATCACATAAGAAACGTTACTTCAATTACAAAAAGCTTATATTTAATTGCAATATCAAGCAAAAACCTTCAGTCTTTAAAATAAAGCAAAATATAGAGCATGATTTATTCCTCTATTTCTAATATTGAATGCTTACAATCATATCCAGGCACAGGATACCCGGTTGAATGTGGTCGTATTCCTTTCATCCCATATCCTAGACACGCGGCTGTAATGGGGGAGCCTGTCTCAGTCTGCCACCAGTGGTTCAGAACAGATACACCGAAGATATTTTCAGCCCAGCGCTGTAAAACCTCTGGCCATTATATTTAATGCAAAACAATTTAAAATACGTCATCAATAAATATGCCAACGTAACAAGATAAATAATGTAAATATAATCACTTCAAAATGACATTAAATTTGTTTTATGCTAAATAGTCTGCGGTTATTTTTAACTTTGTATAAAATATATTTTGAATATATAATTTTACATCCATATACTTCAATGTATTTTTTATGTGACATACTTAAAATAATATAAATTCATTTGGACCTCAATCAAAATAATTCCAATAATTTTATCTAAATAAATACGGAAAATAAAACCATATAAAACGGTTTCCTTAACTGAAATTTAAACATTTAATGAAAGAATATCCTATAAACAAACATAACTTTTTGAATTGCTTATCTGAGAATGTTAAAAATATAATTATATAAAAAAAGTTCTAATAAATAATATTTAAATAGTTTAAAGACAGATTACAATATACCTATAAGATATTATAACAATTAATGATTCATACAATTCTAATTATGTATAAAATCTTCTTCTCAATACACACCACGTAATATAAGTTATTAGTTCTATTCTATTGTGTCATAAGTAATATAACAATCACGTCTTACTCACTCTGGTTTCATGATCACAATGCTCTCCAGCAATGAATATCGTCTTTAGAGTATTTTGGCAATATCTTCTAGCGTATTTTCCATTGGGATCAGCTCTTTTGAGTACGCGGAATGCAGTTGGTATCGTAAAGAGAGCGTTGACTCTATGTTGTTCTATAATTCTGTGCATGAAAGAACATACATTTAATTTGCTTTTTATATAGTTAAGAAATCATCCGTCTCTTTCTAATCTTCTTTCTCTTTCCTTACCTATAATACTGTCCAGGATCTGGAGTTCTATCAGGTTTTCCTTCATACAGAACGGTTGTAAGCCCTGCTAGTAAAGGTCCGTAACATATGTATGAATGACCGACCACCCATCCAAGATCCGACGCAGCCCACCACACACCACTCTTCAATCCATACACAGCACGCATTGACCAACACAGTGTAGCTGCATGCATGCATGGCCGTTGTATTCCCTTCGGATCATCCGTGGTACCTGAATATTTTAAACTATTAAATATTTCCCACCTACTATGGTTAACTTTAATTAAATAAAGTACTTTTAATACCAGAAGTATACAATATATACAATGCTTCATTAGCTTCAGTTGACACACAAGGAACAGGTTCCGCCTCCAACGCTTCATCCCAGCACATATCTCTTCCCTTCTGCAGAGAACATTCGAGAACGCGCCGTCTTTGGTATATTATACACTTCTGAGGCTTGTGTGAACTTTGACATAGTGCGTCGTCCAATATGTCTTTGTATCTATTACAATAATAATATCATAATATGTTTATTGGGCTTAAATAGAATTCAATAAAATAGATCTCTAAGTTTTCACGAATACTAAAATTAACTTATGTTTGGAAAACTTTCCGATAGTTTTACTACTGTACAAATATTCAAAACCGAACGTTAAACATTAAGGATATTTATATATATTTTTTAATATTCAACAATATTTAAATTTAAAACGTATAATCCCCTTATCTAGCAATTTATATATTCATATGCATATTTGCTATGGCGCTTATATTGGTTTTTGGTATAACTAAAAAAACATTAAATTACAAAAAAATTACGAATCTTATCTTTTCGTCGAGAAATATAATTGCAACTATAAAAATCTAAATGTATATTGGTACCACTTAAGACTTACTTAGTTATAATGTAATTCTTTGATTTTATATTCGGCTTCCCTTCACCCTAGTAATAAAATACATACTTTTCAATTGAATTATAAGTTTCTACTTATAACTATTTGTATTTTATACAAACCTGACTATTTTATTTGGCTCCACACCGCAGCTAGCCGCTATGATAACAGTTGGTTCCGCGTGTTCAATTCTTGTTCTTAGCTCTCTTGCAGCAAAACCTTAGATATTAAAGGTAGACACTCATACAACAAAATTCATAATACAAATATTATGAAGTTTTGACCCAATATGTTTAGAAAATGTACAACTACGGAATTTTTTTTAAAAAAGAAATTAAAACATAATTTTTTTTTACCCTATCAGAGCCCACTGCTGAGCAAAGGCCTTTTTCTCTCATAGAGGAGATTTAAGTATTAATCATCACGCTTGCTCAAGAGGGGTTGGAAAAAAAAAACGTAATTGCAAGATGTAAAATTATGATTTTTCAAATGAAATCCTTTCCGGTTCAAACAAATACTACTAAATGATTACATGGAAAACAGATTAATTTGGAAGAAGTTATCTGCAACTTTAATTTGGTGTTAACTTTTAACATTACCAACTTATAATTGTTATATTCATCACGGCATACAAGGAACAAAAAATATTGGTTCACCTAGTCATTGCTTCTGCGTGATAGGGAAAAAATATAGTAGTAAAGAAAACAGCTATGGATAAATTGTTATATTACTTTCTGGACCTACCTCCAAAGACCACAGAATGTATGGCACCTATCCTATTAGTAGCCAACATAGCCACCACAGCTTCTGGGATTAGCGGCATATATATGAGCACACGAGACCCTCGCTCTACACCAAGAGATGACAGCCGACCAGCTAAACGAGATACCTGGAGATAATAAGCTTTTGTTATTGAGGAATTCCTGGTGTATTGATGGCTTGATATATTAATGTTGGTAGATATTATATTTTTAAGAAGGCAATAACCTTTTAAATATAACGTTTTTTTTTATTTCTGTGCCCTCAATTACATTACTATATCTATACTAAGTTTTAGCCAAAAACCATTGTAAGGTAATTAGCGTAAATTTTTTGGACTACATATTGAGTGAAGCGTGTTGAAATTAAGGATCCAGCAATAAATTTAACGCTTTTTAGGATAACTAAAGTCATAAAGTTTTGTTTTAAATATTGGACCACTATAAGACTTAATTTTAAAATCTTAAATAAGTACTAGAGATAAAATCAAATCTTTTACGAATGAATGATTTATTATTATGAAATCGATTTCATAATAAGTCATTCATCTGGTTGAAGAGAACCATAGCAAAAGTGGGAATGAATGAACGAGTTAAAATATTGTATAACAGAGATATACATACTGTTCTTGTTATAAATGACTTTTTTTAACTTTAAAATAAATTCAGAAGTTGTGGACAACAAAAATTTTGTAGAAAAAACATTCGTAATAATTAATTTTAAATTGCAATAAATCATATAAAATAATGAGGTTACTCACACAAACATAATTACAAAATGCATACAACAGAACAAAAATCATAATTAAAAATGAAATTAGCATTAATAAGAGGACGTAAAAATAATGAAATCAGGACTTTTTATCATTTTGATTTAAATTGTATCATAATTAATGTGTATGTCTAAATTGTCCATATGTTTATGTTCTTAACATTATTTAGCTCTTAGTTAATAATTATGTTCTCGAAAAGGCATTAAAAAGTGCTCATGTCTATATTGTAAATCTAGCTTCAGCTTAAGAAAACCCTAGTTACTATTTTTTTAAATCGTAACAGTCGTTGATGTAAATTAAATATATATAATTATTTTAATCTTCTATTGGATTAAATAAATTTTTTAAAGTTCAATAACTAGTATCTCAATGATATATCAATAAATCTCTATTTCTTTCACTGTGCCGATTGGTCATTTAATATTTTTATCATAAAGTTGTCCTGTTAAAAATCCTCATAACTCCTGGTCTTAGATAGATACCAAATCAAGATATCATGGATGTGTTACAGATGTACTTGAAAAGAAACATAGTTTTTCAGGAAGACCTTGATTCATTAAAACCTGTAGAAATCAATGGTAAAGGTATTGACTCTCACTAGTGGTTTGTAACGTCAAACCAAATACGAAGTGTTTCCAGTTTGTTATTCATATACATACCATATATTTTTTACGTACGACCGTACCATAAAGTAGGAAGGTATTAGAAATAAAAACGGCCAACGCTCCGTATTCACTTTCAAGAAGTAAGGTTGTGATAAGTATCCACAGCAGAAAGAAAACAATTCTGCTAATTAGGTTTTTACGGAATGAAAGCGGTTACAAAAGTCTCAGTAAATTATGTTAATTATTAATTATAATTAATCATGATGATGATGATTAATATTATTACTTTTTTCAGTAAAAATATGTAATCCAAGTAAAAATAAACCATTGTAAACAAAACTTAATTAGGATTGATACATAATTTTACAAGAATTACAATTTTCCGTTACGAAGTATTAAAAAGTAGAGGTGAAAGTCCAACGGAAAGATTTTAGGAAAGTTATTTCCGATTGTCATTTAAATATTGACATTGACGTTGACATTTCATATAATTAGTACAATTGTTCGAAGATTTATATATACTATGCAATGTAGTGATTAACGATCGACGTTCTACCATAAATAAATATTAATATTTAGTTACCGAGCTTTGCTTTGATGCATTTTCAAGTGAACACGTTAAGGACACAAAAAAATATAAATCAACAATTAATTTCTTAGTCTAACCTCAAAACAAACAGTCATTGACCTGTTACATAACAATGCAACAACGCCATCTGCTGTTGTGTTGTTAAGGCAATTAGTAAAGCAATAAGCAAAAAGTAGTATTACTATTCGCCAATTGATGTTAGGAAGAGTCATATTTTAATGGCCTCTTTTTTGATATTTATTTTTGTCATAAATTGACATTTTCTAAAAATGATTCCTAGCTAGAGCGATTTATTGCCCCGAAACCCCCTATATACTAAATTTCATAGTGGAATAGCAATGTTATTATGTTAACATTCTACTCTATTCTTTGAGTTTTTGTTATTTCAGATTTTTCATGTCATGTATGGACGTATAGGCACGAATAAAAGTATTATGAATGACAAACATGGTACCTATATAAATTTATTTTTATCAAATTAATCCGATATGGCGTTATGGAAAATGTTATGCAAAATTTTCTTGAAAAGAGATAAAATGCTTTTTCTTTATAAATATATAGAGATTACTTTTAATTTATATTTTATAGAATATTTAAAAAATACGTATTGGTTTAGGAAATTTCCTTTCTCTTTCACTATCGGATATTTTGCAAAGGGCAATGACTTTTGCCTTCTTAGTTACAGAGATAGATTTATTAAAAAATAAATAAACGTTCTAGTATTTTTTCGTTACTTTAATGATATTTCGGACGAAAATACCTTCATATAGAATACTACTACATTGTAGCAGATATTAATTTATACTTTAATAAATACAAGTAAAAATGATTTATCGTCAAATATACTGCAAAGATATTTAGTAATATTGGACATTTTATTGTCTATAAATTTTGCTAAAGAAATAATTATTTTTTATTAAATTATTTAAACAAAATGCTGTTAAAATTATATTTATAAAAATATTTAGTACTTCTATTTACAGTTAGAACATTGTTAAGAATACTTCTTAGAAATCTTGACAAAAATAACTTCATTGAAATTTCTTTTATTTTATTTCAAATGAATAATTTCTCTCACATTTCTTTCCTCTTATTAATCGATATATTTCGTAAACATTTAAAACGTCATTCAAACACGACATAGTTTTGAAATATTCAATATTCAAGTAAAAGGTTGGCCGTATCTGTACATCTATTGTCTTAGAATTTTAATTTCTAATGATCAAAATGTGGAGAAATCGCTGGCTTATTATTATATTTATTCTTTGCTCTCTTACTGAGTCAATCAATATATAGTACACCAAAAATAAATTTACTTTGTACACCAAAAATATATTTACTTAATTAAAAATATACGCATACTTTTTATAGCGAAATACTTGATCACTAAGATAACCTATATGAAGCAGTCAAAAGACTATAAGACGAAACAGCAGGTATAAGTTTGTATGAAAGAGAAGAGTATTCTTAGCATTCAATGTATTCATCGTGCGTGTGTCGGGTCCATCGTTACAGGGAGAGGAGCTTCAACAGTGACTGGGACTTGTGACCCTGGTGTAGGTTTAAGGGACACCTATCTAACGCGCGTTAAACGTTCACCTCCACCGTCCAAGCTCCTCTCTCTACCTAACATATATATTTCAACTGGATTACACGATCTTTGTATATAAGATAAAAAATATTCACCTGATCCTGCAACTCGGAGTATGTAATGCGTTTGACGGTATCAGTCAAGGGCGAGTCGTAAGCCAAAGCAATTTGATCACCTCTAGTTGGCACGTGACGATCTACAGCATTGTAACAGACAGACAATTCACCACCCACAAACCTGTAACACACAACATATTAATATTCCACTATAATAATGACAAAATTCAGTATTAACTTTTCCTTGGTTATACGATCGGGAAACAATTATTATACATTATGTATAAGAGATTACTAATTTTTATGATGACCAGCATTTTTTACATTATTACTTACTATTATTACTTTATAATCAATACAACTGAGCTCATTAATAAACAGAGTTTTTTAACACACTAACAGTGAATGGAGTTGCAACATCTTATTAGGTTGGTGCGTATGAAATGTCGGATTCTTAAGTGATTGTATAAAACTGCATATCTTTCTTCAAAAGCTGTTTATTCAATCAAAGTATGCTCCATTCGCTTCAATACACTTCTCCCAACGAGATTTTAAAGCGTAGATGCCTGTCTTTAAAAAAATTTGGTCTTTAGAATTAAAAAACTCTGATATCGAGTTTTTTAGACTGTCTTCATTTTCATAGTGTTTGCCCCTTAAAAACAGCTCTAAATGCTTGAAAAAATGTAAATCGGTCGACGAAAGATCCGGTGAATATGGTGGATGCTGCAAAACTTCATATTCCAGTTCGTTTAGTTTCGCAATTGTTTTGTGCGATGTATGCGGCCGAGCGTTGTACCCACTTGTCCATCTTCTTAACCTTGCCAATCTCAGAAAGGTGTCTCAATATCGTTGTATGGTCAACTTTCATCCTGATAGCAAGTTCCCTCGTGGATACGGCTGGATCCGCTTCCACTAGAGCCTTCAGGTCATCATTTTTCACAGACGTTTTGGGTCTTCCGCGTGGCTCATTTTGCAGTGAAAAATCGCCAGTCGGAATTTTTTTTTAACCAACTCTGCACTTTCCGATCGTTAATCGTATTCTCCCCAAAGGCTTGGTTTATGTTGCGTGCAGCTTTTGCAGCACTATTACCAAGTTTGTACTCATATAAGAAAATGAGGCGAATGTCGGCAGAATTCATATCGGCAATAAACTCAAATAAATAACAAAAGGGAAGACCTTCGAGAAAATCTTTTTTGCTGAAATGAGTCTCTGGCAATGGACAATACGACTGTGAGTGAGGTTATGCCAAAGACGAAAGTATAACGAAAACAGGGAGACAAACGTCCGCATGTAAAGAGAATCCGACATTTCATACGCACCAACCTAATATAATCTATATATGTATATAAAAGAAAGAAAAAATACACTATTTATAATTCATGAACGGCTATACCGATTTAGCAGAAAATTATTAGTAAGATTAAGTTTAGAACCAAAAGACGGACATAGGGTACTTTTGATTAAATAGAAAAGAAAAAAGAAATTAGTTAATCATCTCCAAAATATGCTAATTTACAGACTCTGAGGCGGAACAGAGTTCGCTCAATCACCTACATTACTATTTAAAATTGTTTCTCGTGCAAAAACTACGAGTTTTTCCGTTTTAAAACTTCGTAACGGAATTAAAATTAATTCCTTTGACTTTGAAATAAACTCTAAAATTTTTATCCCTACTAATATTATAAATGCGAAAGTAACTCTGTCTGTCTGTCTGTCTGTCTGTCTGTCTGTCTGTCTGCTACGCTTTCACGCCTAAACCACTGAACTGATTTTAATGAAATTCGGTACAGAGATAGAGTTGACCTTGAGAAAGAACATAGGATAGTTTTTATCCCAGACTTTTGAAAGGTTCTCTTGGAAACGCGATATAACCGAACTCCACGCGGCGAAGCTGCGGGCGGAAAGCTAGTAATTCATATTTAAATGGATCTTTTAAGAAATTGAGAAAAAATAGTTAGGTAAGCTAAAAAATATGTTCAACAGTCTAACCATTTGGTGAAAGGTGGGTTGCTGTTGTCCAAGACATGATCCCAAGGACGAGTCCATTCGACTTCCTGAGCCACTTCGCCCCAGAACTTCTCAGGATTCTCCAAAGAACTCCTGTAGGCTTTCTGATATTCCTCAGTGACTGCTCCATCGTCTTCAACCATCGCAATGAAAGACAAAATAACTTATAACAAAATATCACAACGAAAAATCTATAATGTATGAGCTCAGATTCATTCATAAGCGCCTCTGAGAACAGCGTTGTTCGAATCCTTATATATAAGATATAACATTATCATTATCATCTTACAATATCCACTTAAATGATTACATTAACACTTATTTGAATACTCTGTATATATGAATATAATTATTCCCTTGTATGCAAGTTGCGATTTTAAAAAAATAATATAAAATGTGCAACATTATATCGGGCTACATATCAAAGGATATACATATTTTCCAACCTTTTTATCATAGTTGCACTTCTCAATAAAAACGTTATTATTAAGAAAAACATAGTGCAGGAACTGACAAATGAAAAACTGATTGTAATATATCTGACGTATAAATATTATGTAAAATTTGTTTAAATTGTAAAGTGTTAAGTACAAATTTATTTGATTACTTGCCTATAATGTTTTTAAGTCGTTAAGCTTTTGTCATTTAAATAAAACAAAGAAATACTCCATTCCGTGTATACAATATATATTCGATTTTTTTTGTTAATCATTTCTATTTCCACCATAATACTAACAAAATAATACATAAAATTAAGTTCATCAAAACAATATATAAAATAAGTCATGTGTTTGAAATAAGCCTAAACTATTTCTGGTCTAGTACCAATGGAGATGATCACGAGAAGATATAATAGCACTTGAAATGAAGCACATGAAAAAAGCACAAATTTCTGCGTTATGAAAATGTAAATGAAAGTATTCCAATGTGATGCTTTATCTCGCTTTTTTCAGCATTTCCAGATGAATCTAAGACTAGACCCAGTCTATTATGTAGACCACAAACACTGTTTGTGGGACGTTTCAGTTTCAAACTAGGATATTTGAAAACATTTGATCTCAACTGAATTCAAGCGTTGGTATAATGGCGTGGCAGATGGAGGGAGTTTTAATCAGATGTCAAGATTTCAAGCTGAAACCCGATACAGTGCTTAATCTAGCGATTCACTTCTTTCGTTTCGTTGGGACAGTGATACCAGAGAAATCTAAGAATGATTTTCATCGTGAAATATAAGTACAGACGATAGAGACTACAGTTAATTGCTCAGGAGCTACACAAGATGATAAAGTAATAGACGTCCATGTAAGGATGACGGAAAGGACAATCAAAAAGCAGCTATTCTTCTTCTATCGTAGAATAGTACTTACTATATAATTCCAGAACATATTTATTTATTCTACTTTATATTTTGATATGGTCGATAACATGATCCTTAGGTGATAGGTAAATAACAAAATTATTTACGAAACCTTGCGTAGATTCCTTTAAAAATTACGATTCAACAGGACCAGACGTAAATAATATAGATATACATAAATAATTATAAAAAAGGTTTCTCTAGGATTATGAACGTGTTTCTTTTGAAGTCTTCTTTTTAATTCTTTTGTCACTGTATATTGCTTAAAGTTCAAAGTCGATGGATTATTTAGAACCCCACACTTATATCCTTCTATCTGAATAATTAACATATCCTATAATAAATTTAGAATCATTTTTGTTTTTGCTGAAGTTAACCAGAAGAAATAAATATGCTCCTCTAGCATACAACCATTTCTAATGGAGTAAGTCGATTTTTAGGTATTTTGCATTTTCTAAAATATATACTTGTTTCTAATGTCTTAAAATAACCTTGCAAAAACGAGACTGATTTTAATTATAGTAAGAACAAAAAATGTACTAAGCTGAAATAGTGATTAGTTGTTTTTTAATTTAATATTAAACAATTCTACTAGAATGTATGTTTTTGTGCATGTTTTGTATCCTTGATCGATGCATCTTATTATTCATCTTTATGGCAAGTAATTGCTTCCTACTTTTTAAATGTTTTATCCCTTAAGAAGAATAACAAAAACTTCCGCTGTTCTAGTAATATTTTCCTGCAGTTTTCTCATAGTCATTCCAGATAGTGTAAGGTCCAAGTTAGTCCGCAATGTGACTTTAGTTAGAGATGTGGTAATTTTTTTTACATGTGTTTTCTAAAAATTTGTTTTAAACTCTTCATTCCTGATTCATTAATATTTTTGACTGCACACTTCACTATTGGTATTTCGACTAACTTGAATATAAAATATCTTAGTGCCGGAAAATCTTCATCTTCAAAAGAGGTTTGGATTCAATTTTTGCTCTATGTTAGAATTGAACAAATATTCTAAGCATTCTTTCATTTGCTTCCTTGCCTTTCTTTCTTTTAGCATGCCTTAGAACTATTTATGTTATGCCAGGTTGTTTTAAAAAGGTTTCTGCACAACTGTTCCAGATTTTTTCCTTTAATTTCACTTATTAGAGTATTTTTTTGTTTTAAATTCTAGTGAGTATTATGAAAATTTACATGCAAGTCAATGCTTTGCATGCTTTTTTCTCTTAGCTCATTTTTAATCGAACGTCACATGTCAGATAAAAGTAATCTCCGCTTAATTTGTAACTTATATCTGAAGAAACAGGCAAGGGGTTTTTTACATGTCTAAACATACAGTGTAAACTCCATATAACGACACTCGATTTAACGACAAACTCTCTAAAGCGTCGAAATCATTTGACTTTGGTTGGTTTAGCTTGTCTACCATACAATGATACACTCTATATAGCGCCACAGCCACTCTCAATAACGACAAAATTAAGTAATAAAAAGTACCCTTTAAGTTGCTAAAATTAGTAAAAAATGCGCAGCTGTGTACGTTTTTTTGTCGCTTTGTTATCCTAGCCCGCAATAGACTCCACTGTCGTAATCATGCATACCAAACTTTCTAAGAAATTCGTTCTTCACCAATATGCCTCAATATCGCAAGATATGAATAAAATACGTAAAAAATACAACAACATTACTGGTGCAGCAAAACACGTCAAACAAAAACAACACACTTTATAACATTCTTTTTTATGTACATAAGTACTAACAGTAGTCTGAAACAAACTTTGTCTTTTTCTAATTCTGATTTTTCTTCCCTCTATTTAACGGCAACTCTCTATAACGCACTAAAATGCACGGTCCCTTCAGTGTCGTTATATAGAGTTTACACTGTACTTTTAAGAAGTCTAACTACACTTTGTGCAAACATGTTTGTTTAAATCAGCGCCATCTATTAGCAAACATAATTAATTTCGTCTACGTATTGAAAGAAAATATTAGCATGTTCATGATGACGTTCAACAATGTTCATGACGTATTTTATATATTTCTATTTAATTAGGATATGATAACAAGTTAGCGTTCCACACTATATAAGAAACGTTACCATGTAATCATTCATAAATCTTCGCGTTTCTATTGAGATAGGGTTTTCAATGGGAAACGGGATTTTATACCTAAATCCTAAATCCTGTATGGAAATTCCAGTTTCGAAGATATCTTGAAACTTTGTTTCTACTATACAAGTATTTGTTAAATACAACCCTCTGACCAACGGTAAGACCGTTAAAAGTATTAATTAGTAGGAATGAAGAGTTTCAATGCTTGTTCCATATATTATACGTATAACTAAAATGTATATATGACATATTTATAATATTTTATAGTTTATATATATTTAATCCGAACCAGTTAAGTATGTATATGCCCTCTATTGACAATAGTCATTTTTTTTTGTCAGTAAATTGTCTACAGTCTATGTAAATGATTGAAAATTATAAAACAAGGAAATTTATACGCAAGGGCAGCAGCTCAAAGGTCTCCTAACTGTTATTATAAAAAAGTAATTTAATGAAATTCAATTTGTAAATTATAATAGTTTATACGTAAGTGATTGATAATTGAAATTATTTTTACGTAAAACTAACTATTTAGTATACCTACCTGAGGTTCACAATGGTGCATAATTAGACTGTTAACTAATATATAAATTATATAACGTTTAGGTTCGTACTTAAGTAATAATATAAAAACTATGTAGTTTAGTTCAGTTTAGTTAGTTCACATACATATGTTTTTCTGATCACAAATTAACATAGTATCTTTCTAATTTCAATATTTTAAATAACAAACAACGTCAGGAAATTATAGTTTCTTAAATAACTATAAAATAAATATTAAAAAAGAATTTAGCTTCAACATACTATCACCATTATAATCATAATTTAATAACATAATAAAGTAATTACCATATTTGACCATGTCAACAGGACTCACAAATATTTTCGTTTTCAATTCACTTATGGATGTTTCGAATTTATTTTTGTCTATTTTCGCCATGACGGAACCCTCTGCATCTTGATACATTTTTATTTATATTATATATATAACACTAATAAATAAATATTTTTCACCGTAGCTTTAGTCTTACGAATGCTACAATTGCAACTGACTATATTGAACCGTAGAATAAATTGATATACATTCATTTATTCTTGTATATGAATGAGGGACCTTCGATCCTCTTGAATAATTAATGTTTTGAAACTGAAAAGAGTTTGACGCATTTAAGAATTAAAAAAAACTACGTTCGAAGACTTATCCTTAGAAAAGATAAGATCTCGACGGTCGTACAGACGTTACCACACTGTTTGTAATTATAATAGTTTAAAAAACTAAGAATAGAACACTTCAACTATTCATAAAAACACGAAAATTTTTAATCAAATACCAAATCATGGAGCATCGAACTTAGCGGGTTAAATAGCCGTTGACTTACAAAATATTTTACGACAGTGAATAAATAGATTGAATAAGAAAAGTGAAATTTAGTTCACATTCGTAAATAATACTTTTAACAAGTCTATATTTTATACAAATATTTAATAAGTAGAAAAAGTTTATAGGGTTTATATCAAATATTTCTGTGTCTTGAATTTCAACATAGATTTATTCTTAAAAAAATTATGTATGTATGTATCAGTTGCTGAAGATTTTTTCTAATAAATACCTTAAAATGGTTCGTTTTTTAGGCTGATAATATGATCTCCAACTATCCATATACCCCTACTACAAGTTTGAATTCGTCTTTAACAAGTCATTAATAGACCTAAGTCGATACGAAGACGTGACTATGTTAACTTGTTGTAATGGAACTGTTAAGTTTCTATATTCGAATTATATAATCTATAACAATAAATATATTAATTATAAAATAATTACAGTCATCATGTTTTGAAAATATAAGAAAAAAGGATTGTTGATTAAATACAATGTTTAAAGTCAATACGATTGGGAAATAGCAGATATATAATTCAGTATTAGAAGTGTATGTAACGGTATAGAGAATTGGGGTCATTGTGGGTAGTTCATCTTCATATTCATTTTCTTCGTTGGTATCATTTTGACATATCCATAGTACTATAAGATTCACGACAGGTTGGTGGTCTCAAACTGGTTGAGTCACACAACTGGTGATAAAATCAAATATAGATCATAGATAACGGATTCCTTGTTGAATTTGTATTTCATAGTATCCACAGAATTACTTTTATTTCAGCTGAATACACTAGTAGACGTTACCAAAGACATTCAGCAATAATGGCTCATCGTTCTCTATATCGGATATGAGGGGCCTTTTCGAATTTTATAATTTGTTTATTATAACAGAAAACACAGCAGTAAATGGTTTATTTCAATCTTTTTACGAATTTTCAAGAACTTATTATCAGGACAGCCAAATTATATTAATTCAATTTAGATTCTTATAAATTGATAGAATTAATATTTAAAAAAAAGTTATAAGATTCACGCAGTTTTGTTGTATAGTTCCCGAAAATACATAAAAAATTCATATCGGCATATAAATAGATTTTAAAAAATACAAAATATTTAGCTATTAGGTACAAGCTAATACTCATAAAATTTAAATATCCGTGTACAAACATTATGTATGATTTATGTATCAATGAATATGTTAATACCTAATATTAAAATAGAAATGCTTAGAGTGATAAATAGCGATCATATAAGCGACGTTTAAAAATAACTGATGAGTTTTAAAGAGTTTTACTTTAAGTAAGGAAGGGATAAGAGAATTGAGAAATTATCTGTTAGGAAATAAAATATACCTATAATTAGAATATAATCTTTTTTACTAATTATTCTTCAATATTATATGAGCATGAGACTTCATAGTCCAGTACGGAATAAGGAGAACGTGAGCGAAAGAAATTTTAGTCTGTTTTTTATACATATTGTAGATAAAAGTATGGATAACGAAGTGGTCTTATTTAACCAATGCGTAACATTTAAAAACCAATTGATAAATAATATTTATTAAAAAAACTTAGACAATAATTTCAATAATTACCTATATGTAAGACTTCTTTGTTATCTACCTCCAAATACATACTTATAAATTTCCTCTAGTTCTCCTCTTGATGCTCACACGATGCGAAAATCTTGAGGTCTGTAATGCGATGTCTGTGACATGGAGTTTTTATAATTTTTATGATGATTTTTTTATGGTAGCTTATTCTTGAAACCAATTAAGAGTACCGTTCCTTTGCAGCAAGTGGATATATACAAATTTGATCGTGACTGTGTCTTGTAATAAAAGAAGCATCTTTGCATGTGTCAAGGAACTTATCCCAGATATTAAAAATAGAAGTGTCTTGAAGTTAGCAGTGTGAAAATATAGGTACATTGATTTAGCGAAGGTGTTGCATTTATTTCGATGACCCACAGATCCAAGCTAGTGAAAAAAGATGTATGCTGAAACATTTAAATTAGAAAAAATAGAAAGAAAAATTGTCGACACGAGCAGAATTAAAACCTGCAACCAACAGAATTGCATCTTACAGTTGCCTTTGATGTTAAAAACATACTTGTAGGAAGAAACATATAGAAGGAACATATTTGTACACCGAGATTCATCTATGAGGCTACTGAAAAAATCACCCTAATTATAGAAAGGTTATATGGCTGGCATTTATTTCATATGTGGAATCCTCTCACGGCTCACCAAAAATATAATATACATATATCCGTGACTCTATTACCCAGGCCATAATTTTATTTATTTGATATGTTAATTAAATTTTATAAAAATACTATTTATTGTTGCTATAAAATAGCAATTATTCTTGCTAAATCTTCTTCCTGGCAATTTCCCAGCTTTAGCTAGGGTCTGCCTTACATGTTGTGAATAGTTTTGGCTAATTGTTTTTACGACCGGCCGCCTCAATGACATCAACCCCCTTTGAGAATGCATTAATCAGTGATGTCTAAATATTCTTAGAAACTAGAAAATACATATGACTCGGGAAAATCTAATTGGTACTTGCCAGGGCCAAGATCGAACCCGCGCCCTCATGCATGAGAGACGGGCCTTTTAACCACTAGGCCACCACTGACTTTTTTTGACTTGCTTACTTATAATTATACTTACTAAATATCTCAATATAAATATTGCTAGCACATCCCCATTCTTGAGATACTTGATTTAAATGAAAAAACGCAACGTGTAAGACATTGAGATAATGTGAAATCAATAGACAAAGGATTTATTGAGCAACTGTGTAATCAAATTAATTTTCCGCATAAATTTATTGAAGCTAATTATGATGTTAAAACAGCGTAAAAATTATCAACACTTAGTTCAATAAAACGTCTGATAGTACATAGCAGGCATGTTCTTTTTCATATTTATTGGTAAGTATCTGTCTTTAAAATATCTTTTTTTTATTCACTGTGACATAATTTTAATATTTTTACATTTAAGTTCTGCCAACTTTAACCCAACAATACACGATTAAATTGAACGGTAAAGTTGAAATGGGAGAACAAGTATCGAATTTTCTTAAAGAGATGTACAAACAGTTTTTGAATGGAGACAAAGTTAGAAGCATAAAACAAACACCGGACATAGTACGTGACGAACCGTTTGCTGATCAAACTGTACAGGTACCCGCCATTGAGGAAATTATGAGTAAAAATGAAATAAGTCATTTGTATGGAGAACATAAAGACGAAAAACCTATGAAAAATAATATTAAAGTGTGATTAGTTTCACAAATACACTATTTATCGATGTTTTCTTGTATCATATTCGATACTTTAGTATCTAATTATTTTCACAACCAGAGCTATATTTTCTTTTGATAGCATCTATTTTAAAAGTTTTATATAATACTTACTAGCTTTCCGCCCATAGCTTCGCCCGCGTGGAGTTCGGTTATATCGCGTTTACAAGAGAACCCTTCAAAAGTCTGGAATAAAAACTATCCTATGTTCTTTCTCAAGGTCAACTCTCTGTACCAAATTTTATTAAAATCAGTTCAGTGGTTTAGGCGTGAAAGCGTAACAGACAGACAGACAGACTGAGTTACTTTCGCATTTATAATATGAGTAGGCATTGATTCTTAAAAAATTATACGTCAGACAAAAATCTAAAAAAAGACATCGTTGTATCAAAAGCCATTATTACTAATGAGAGGGTTTAGAATTTAAATTTTGTAGGAAAAAACCATCATATAAAATTACACAATTATCAAATCCAATAAAACCAAAGGCGTTAAATAATAAACGATCATAAATATTAACATTTTATTCTTACACAATTTCTGTGCAGTACATGCTTCGCTATGGTTAACTGTCGGCTATAGAATAAAACAAGGTATTAAGTAACCATTCATTAACTAAAGATTTTTTATTATCAATATTACCATAGATAATAAAACACTTTAATTAAAAAAGTATTTAATGATGGAAGAGCTGGAGAAAAATAAATGAAAATATGGGAAAGAATATTCAGGACTTAGAAAGGGTAAGTAAACAAAAAAAGATCCAACGAAAAATATATTTCATTAACGAAAATTTATAAATAAAATTAACAAGAACAAGAAGTCAAATATACACGTCATGACGAACAAACTTTTTATTGAACAATCTTTACTATATCTAAATAATGAAAATGTATTAATAGTTTCATTTAGCAAACGATTAATAAAAATTAAATTTTACAACGTTCCGTAATAAAAAAAATCCTACCATTTCACTAGAACAAGCCTTAGTTTAACTGCAACACTGTTTTGATCCAAGCGAATTCAAATCTTATTTATAAAGAGATTAGAGTCATTTTCGATGTTACATTAAATGCGCGTGTGTTGCCAGTGTACTTATATATATGGAATATTTGTGGTGCGATTAATATGATAGTTAAAAAACTCCCGACTTAAAACCTAATAATATGAACTAAAACGTTAGACTACCGACCAAAAAAAAAATATATACACAAATATAACTAACAGATTTGTATCATTATGTACTGTTACGATGTTTCGTTCAAGTAGAACATTTGCTAGTTTTAAATTCAATATATTCGTACCGGTAGCGTAACCTAACCTAACCTAGACAAATACAATGAATAGGCAATGAATAATCTACAAGTTTTTGTTAAATAATTAAATCATAGACCACACTGCACCGTCTCAAACATTAATCAATTTCACGATTCATTTATAATAACAAAAAAAATTAAAGTGTTCTTAATAGATTGTTTAATACCGAAAATATATAAACTTTTTAAACAAATAAAGATATATATAGATATAGAAAATTAAATAACTGAATTAATTTACATAATGGTTTAGAACATATAATACAATACGTAATATGTAAACACACGGTAGTGTATCACGTGTGGAGACGGTCGTGTGTGTGTGTGTGTGTGTGTGTTCAGCGCAGGTCTGGGTTGTCATTGATCTGTTTCTTGATGCGCACCAACATAGTTGTATACCACTGGTCGAGGCGTGATATACTGTCGTATGTTTTCACGGTCTCGGTGAACGCATCAATGTTCTGCTCCTCCAAGTGTTCGATCAGCTCCTGTTGGAAATATCGATGTTTATAACTCTACTACTACCTGGCAATTTCCCAGCTATAGCCAGGGTCTGCCTTACATGGTGTGAATAGTTTTGACTATTTGTTTTATCGATGTTTTTAACTATGAAGCAAAAACCCTCTTTTCTTTCTTTCTATGAAGGTGTATACAAGGTAATTATTATTATGATTTATTGCTATAGTAACTTTTAACATAATGTCTATAATATCTTTGTTCGTTAGGCCAAATGAGTAGACAAATGTTCTTTACACTAGGAGCATAAGTACTAAACCATCTATGGAATATTATGAACATTTTATTAAAACTACCAAAACATAAAAAATTTAATAAAATACCAACAAATATGTTAGATTATTATCTTTCAAATTCTTTCAAGTCATGTGAAGATACGACTTGAAGTAATAATTTTACGCACATTTGACTTGGGAGTAAGTTTGTGAATGAGTTACGAAAGCGTTACGAAAAGTGTGATCTAACATTACAGTTCAGGATCATATACATAAGAATTATGCAAAGAAAAGATTTAAAGCCTCTAAATCTACTGCTATATATATTTTTTCTTATGTTAGCTATTTCTAATAATACACTCCATATCAATATAACTGAAAACTATTGTATCAAATCCTAAGCTACTGAACTAATTTATTGTTACATAACCCATAAATTATCCATATATACAGGGTGACTGGTGAATTACTATCAATATTTAAGGAGAATACTCGGTACATGATTCTCATTCAAATTATTTTAAAAAAATAGGCACCTAATTTTTGACCAAATTTCCGTATAAATAAATAAAGTGTTGACACGTTCCAAGTGTTCCAAGTGTGGACGCGTGCGGCGGCGTGCGGCGGCGTGCTGATACAACACTACGCCGCCGCACGCGTATGTGTGTGTGAGTGTATACCTAATCTGTAGGGTGTTCACACAATGCGTAATTAATTACATAACTTTTGGTTAACTTTACTTAGAAGTTTATTAATATTTATGTTATATTAATTTTTATTTTGTCATATATGATCGTCAAATATCACGTCCTCAAGTATCGATAGTAATTCACCAGTCACCCTGTATAATATCTTTCTAATACGTAACACATACCTTGACCAGTTTACATTCCCTGGTATCAGCGAAGGCCGGGTATAACGCTGAGTACTTGTCTAATGCGTGTTGAGCGTTCAACAGATCCACACACAAGTGACATAGGGCCGCTCTGAACATGTACTCCTTGGCGCTGTATTTGAGCAGGCTATTGTCCAGAGACGACTTGGCGATCTGGGGATATCGATTATTAGGTGAAAATTCATAGAGAATCCTACTAATATTGCGAAAGTTTGAGAGTGTGTGTATGTTTGTCACTTCTTCACGCTCAAACAGCTAAACCGATTTTGATGAAATTTTGTATACAGGAAACTGACGTCCAGGAATAACACATAGGCTACTTTACATCCCGGAAATCCTGGAAATACGCAGGGCGCAGCTAGTGATTTATATGTCACTATAGTCTGTTATGTCTCAATTGGTTAAGTTACCGGAACGTAATATTCCGATTATTATAAGTATTAAAATGATAGTGTTTAGAATCTTTTTTCATAATTAATCTTCAATTTGAATTTTAATTCACGTCTATATACTAGATACTGTTTTAATATTGAAAGTATTAGTGTTTTTTTTTTCATTTGAATTTTAATTCCAGTCTAATACTAACATTAATATTGACAAAATCAAACAATCAGATTAAAGTTATTATTACTTTGTATGTCTATAACTTGTTTGTATGTTGTATGAAACCATAAAGAAGGAACTACTATCTTATATATAGTTAACCCAATACTATGTTAATACCCCGTACCTGCTCGTATATCTGTATAGCCTTGTCGTAATGCTCGAGCTGAGCGGCGTACTGGGCCAGCTTCAACATACACTTGTTGGCTGATGACGTGGACTCTTCACCGCGGAAGTAATCCGCGGCTTGCTCGTAATGCTGCATAGCTCGAGCGAGGTCCACGCATTCAGTTTCATACAACTCCGCTATGTTCTGAAAGAATACACTTCGTTATTAAAATCCTACTAATATTATAATTGCGTAAGTTTGTGAGTGTGTGTATGTTTGTTACTTCTTCACGCTCAAACGGTTGAACCGATTTTGATAGTTTTGTATTCAGAAAGCTGACGTCTAGGAATAACACACAGGCTACTTTACATCCCGGAAATCCCGGAAATCGGCGGGTATCACCGCGGGGCGCAGCTAGTCTTATATATAATGAGATGACTTCGGGAGTATTCATTTAAATGAATACTAATAATTTTCGGATATACTGCGCGTGATTTATTTTTGTGAACTACATACTCAAGACGTTTCTGTTGGTTATCAGCGTAATATAAGCACGCGTAGTATATCCAAAGAATATAAGTTTCATTTAAACCTTTTATATATCACTCTCTTTTACACAAATGTGTAGTGGTGAAGATTGTTTTACACGATTTACCTACAGTAAGTTATACGTTAAGATACCTATGCTGCTAATAATCTCAATGTATCTAGACCGAAATCAGATTTATACGAAATTTAATGGTCACAAATATTACATACTTTCTAAGCAGAGGGTAGTTACGAAAACACAGTGCTATTACATAAAGTTGAAAAAGTACAAAAGTTACAAATTTTAGGTATGTATTTTCTGTTCGTCATCCGCCTATCAGAGCCCAATGCTGAGTAAAGGCCTCTACTCACATGGAGAAAGTTTTTATTTTAGGTATTTTCTATTATAATATATTATAATATTTCTCACCTGATGCTGTTTAGCGGCCACAGTGAACCGTCCCATGTCGGTGTATATTTCGATAGCTTTTAACAAACACGACACTGCCTCTGAAATATTAACATCATTTTGATTATACTGCTATAATATATAAAGATATACATTTATTTATCCTCTTTGCACACATGTAGGCATGTTCCACGAAAGCCAGCTGAATGCTTATATGCATTATTTACTAGCTTACACTACAAATATAGAACAATAGAAAGGTATGGGACTAAAGAATAAATTTAAAGGAAAAATTTGTATATTTCTAGGATAAAACAAAATAAAAGTTTTTTTATTACATGTTAATGATTATAATTATCCTAAGTCAAAAAGTCAAACACCTAAATTTAAAAATCAATACATGCTTTTTTACGTAACTTGAGATCTTATATACATATATAGCTGACATGCAGTTTATAGATACGCTAAAATCGACCAAAAACAACTATGCGCGTTACACTGAAATACCAATTTAACTAAATCTATCAAATGGAATTTAAAGGAAATGCTCGAGATATGAAAAAATCCGCAAAATAAACTGAAAATATTATAATATTCATAAAAATTTTCGTTACTACTGAAATTTCTTTACAAATAAAAAAGGAAGCATTTCGGTAAGCTCTAGGGAAATTCAGGAAAGGAAAAGCTATTACCTAAAATATTTAGAAGTAAAAATATAATAAAATATATTTTTGCTTCTAACATCTACATTTGTGGGACAAATCATTCCTATACAATTACACTTGAGAGGCTTCATTACGTGAATTATTCCTAGTTCTATATAAGCTTTGTCCTATAAAAATTAGTATTCACGTTCATGTAATAAACTGACGAATTAAAGTAAGTTATTTTATAGAGATACATATAAATCAAAAGCTAACAGAGCGTATGTCTTCATAAATGTATGAACAATTCCTATCGATCCGAGTGCCCCAGTCTCTTGCATGGGAAAACAAGAGGACATTACTCTGTAGAAGGTAGATTCACGAGATAAAACACTATTATCATATGATATTAAAATGTTTCACTGTATTAAGATTCTGTAATCGTTTATATTGATAAAGAATTATTATATTAGATTTTTAATTCATATACGATATTGTTTTGTTACTGTTTCAAAACCTATGTAACCTTTTCGGTTTTAATAGTTGAAACTAAAATTTTCAATGTATTCATCCCTACTAATATTATATATGTGAAAGTAACTCTGTCTGTCTGTTTGTTACGCTTTTACGCCTAAACCACTGAACTGATTTTAATGAAATTTGGTACAGAGATAGAGTTGACCTTGAGAAAGAACATGAGGATATTTTTTATACCAGACTTTTGAAAGGTTCTCTTGGAAAAGCGATATAACGGAACTCCACGCGGGCGAAGCTGCGAGCGGAAAGCTAGTTTGTATATAAATTTGAAATAATTATGGATACCGTACTATAATTTCAATACGAAATTTTCATTTACAAGATTTTTTAACATGAAAGAAATTATTCGTAGATATTTTTTCTATATTAAATATTTGTTTAGAGTAATCTCTTTGGTGTATAAAAATTATGTATTTTAAATAAAATACTGATATCCAAGGACGATTGATAAAAATCGTTGTATGACGAGGCAATAATTTAAAAACGTAGTCAGGTCAATACGACAAATAAAATAAAGTGTTTCGGAAATGTGTCTAAATTGACATTAATACATAATATTTATAAATTTATTTTTGTCTATTAATGAAAATAGTTTCATTACATTATTAAAGTCTTCGTTTGCAATTTAAAAGCAAAAAGACACAAAGCGTATGAGATACACGGAATGCTTAGGTATAAAAAAAAACATTTATTTATCTTATTTAAAATATTTCAAAACCAATTCAGTTATTATGTTTAATATAAAGTTTTTTAGTTTAGGTCTCGTACATCCAAAGACTTAAAGACAAAGACTTAATAATATGTATTTTCTTACTCAATTATATTAAAACCTTTTTCTCCCTTTATTGAATGTAAATTTCAAAGAAATGCATGCTTTTAGTATAAATGTGCACATTATATGTATCCTTCAACTTAAATAAGTTCATTGACCTCATATTTCAATAGTGACATTTGAAGTGTTGCCAACTCACACATTATTACAGACGTAAACCGCGATAGAGCAAAAATGTCATAAAAAAATTGTAATCTGTTAGCAAATAAAGAAACTTTAATCTGTATTCCTTTTCAAAATTTATCTATCTAGGTGTTATTCCTTTTACATGTGTCTAGAATCTTCTATTAATATTTTGTAAAGTTTTCCATTAATTACTAGACACAGCTATCATTTAATACATATGTATAGACAATTTCTTATAAGAAACAAACTGTTGCTTGATTCTCTTTGACAATATTTTTGGTTGCTAATTATAATACTCTTTAATATTCTGTTTAATGACTATAAAACATGTGGAAATATATTTCATGAAAGTTAATTTTGCTTTAGTCATATTACAATAAATTTCCACTCAAGTTGCAACTCAAAATTATTTAAATTGTAATAATTTTAGATTTCTGAATTGCAAAATTTATCTATTCATTATCTCTAGAAGAACACATTTTGCAAAAGTTTTTAGGGTTTTTCCAACTGTTTGAATCAAATTCTACTTTAATGACTCATAATGATGTAGTTCATTACATCATGATAATTAGTGCATTTTATGTTGATTGTTAGCACAAAACTAGCTATACGGGTATTAGAACACTGTCTAACTGATTAATTTGATTAAATCATTCTAATTCCAAGTTAAGTTGCCATCATCATCAGCCTATCAGCGCTCACTGCTGAGCAAAGGCCTGTTCTCACATGGAGAAGGTTTGAGCATTAATCACCACGCTTGATTAACCATCAGCAAGCTTACTCAAGATGGGTTGATGATTTCAAACTTATAATTATAATATTATAAGTCCAGGTTTCCTTACAATGTTTTCCTTCACAGTCTGTCAGTGGTGCCTAAATACCTTAGAAAGTACATATGACTCGGAAAAATCACATTGGTACTTTGCCAAGATCGAACCCACGCCCTAGTGCACAAGAGGCGGGCCTTTAACCACTAGGCCACCACTGACTTTAAACCCAGTTAAATATGTCCTACATAAGACAGACAAGTTGGTATAAAAATATGTAACTAACAAAATAATGTTTACTCTTGTAACAAACTACATATTGTCGAGGATAGTGCAAAGCCGCATACCTAGCATTGGATAATTCCACATATCTGTTTTTAAAGCAGTTTCACAGAGGAAGTTAAAACTAAATTATTTTCTGAATTTAATGAATTTAAAGTGATTTCTTTAAGAATTACTAATCGTTTCGTGTTTAATTAAATACTAAATAATTACAACTTATGGATAAGTTACCTTAAAAGTTGTTAATTTAGAAAATATTGCAACTTAAATTTTTGTATGTCAATCTGCTTCCAATGCAGATACATGGAATTATTAAATGGTAGCTATACGGATTTGCACTATCACCGATGATATATGGGTTGATAAAGCTTTATAACAAGGATGATAACTTACCATTGGGATCGCTTTTCTTATAACAATTGGATGCATCTATGAAATTGGTGGCTGCATCATGACGAACACCGGCCTTCAGATGTAGTTGGGCTGCGCTGCAGAATGCCTGGCCAGCTTGAGGCCACTTCTTGGACATCTTGAACAGATTTGCCGCTCGGAGATAGCAATCCACTGCTTCTTCTACTTTGGAAGATCCACTGTGCAATTGATTTATATTATACTTGATATTATTAATTTTTTTTGGTAGTGAAATACAAAATGGCAATTTGCATTGTTAAAAAATAATGACTAATAAACTGATTTTGGAGAAAGTATTATGTTTAAGTTATATGTAGCCTACTTAATGTATTAGTCATAGGAAACTTTCTCATCTCTCGATGGTGTATATTAGAAACTTAAAGAATCTAATAAATATAAGTTTACAAAAATAATTTAATGCATTCAAATAAAACAAGTAGTAATATGGAACTTTATCTTTGACAATTAACATATTTAAATGTTTTAAAATGTTATTAAAAGAAGTAAATTGGTGTAACATTTTCAAATTTTCGTAACTCCCTTTGATGTTACATAAAATATTAAAAACAGTGCCAAAAGGAACTCTGCTAGAATTATCTATAAGTTGACAAAAAAATTTTGCTCCATAGTTATTGTCTCCTTTTAAACGTAATAAGTTCTTTGACAAGAATAAACTAAATAAGCAAAACAATTTGCTACTCTATAATATGTTAAATAACCCAATTAGTAAATGTGTACAGTCCAAATAAAAGTCTAGTCATTGTTCTTACCCGAATAGTGAACCTAGAAAGGTTTTAGAAGAACTTAATTTCTTCTCCGCCTCTGCAATCAACTGCATAGCTTTCTGCTCATTATCTGCCATCTTTGTGGCTTTTTTGTACACTAAAAACTATAAGAATTACTAAGTCTTTCTGATTTATTTAACAATTTATTGACAAAATGTCGTCACTCCTACCGACTGCGAATGTAGTCGCTGTCATCGATTGGTTACGGACAAGCAGTGTTGCTCATAAAACATGCGTTTAGAAATTTTTATTCATTTGGTAAAGAAATTGATAAAATTATTAAATTAAATAAAAATTATTAAAATTAACGATATATTTTTCTGAATATAATAAAATAACAATTAAGACATCTACTTTACAGTGATTAAACGAAAATAGATCTTACTCTTCTTGAGATATTTCTGTTACTTTAAAGTTTTACAAATAGGAACTGAATTAATTAAAACATTATAATTACTAAAATATCGCTATTTACAATAAAGAAAAAACTTTTGATCAGCTATTAAACTCATGGTATGTCGTCAAGTGTATAAAGCAACAAATAAAATTTATTGATCGTTAATAAATTCTATACACCGTGTGACTGTTACGACAAAATTTTATGAAGGCATATTAATGAGATATCTTTTTTTTCTACCAGTGGTCTTTTTTTAAATCATGCTAATTTTCCTTTATGTTGGTCCGTTTCGATAAAGGTATAAAATTAATTTTCAACTACCTCCAACTTAATTTAACCAACGCTTTTCTTCTTATTTCCTAGGTGGTAGAGCCTAGCTGTGGTCATGTTACTACTGCTCAAACTTGGGTGGGCTCGACCGGGGAAGTACCAACCTCTCCCAGAAGATCGGTGTGAAGTTTCCCTTTCCTACAATTTCCTTATTAATACCCCTCCCTTTTCTTTAACAACTAAGGTTGGCAATGCATTAGAATATCTATGTTGCGGATGTCTATGGGCGACAGTAACTACGGCCCATCAAGTAGGCAGTCTGCTCGTTTGCTACCTTTCACATAAAATATATATATATATATATATATATATATATATATATATATATATATATTTCCCGAAAACTTTACTTCTATTTCCCAAAAACTGATTTTATTAAGTCTCTACATGTTTTTTTTTCAAATTAAAAACAAACGTAATAAAATAGCAAGATTTTTTACTTTCATTGCTCATACTTACAAGAAGATTCTTTTGTTGCAATGCAAAATTTCCATATTTCTATAAATATATGAAGTTTGGATAGACATAGGCACTCTGGAATTGTAGGACTCATTGCCAAAAATATATTACGATGAAAATACCGTCCCTACTCTTACATGAAACTGAAGGGCTACTTAAAAGTTTTAATATATAACTTGACAAGCACCAATAATGATATACGAATTATTTATCTATGTCCTTTAAGGCAAATTAAGTTTTGAACGATAGATTTTTCACATTTTTTTAATACTCTACTTTGTGTAGGAAACTATCTACACTTTGTAAGGAAATAATCTGTAAGCTTAGTCTCAATTTTCATACTCATGTTAAGTACATATGAAGCGTTTCTTTTTTCATTCAATAATGTACGTTAATACTATAATGTGCGAAAATTTATAAATGAAAAACTATTCCCTCTCCGTATGTCGTGGTACGATGGCTTGGGGTAACATATCTTTGTATAAAATGGACCACGAAAAGTTAACTTAGAAAGATTTAGTAAAAATGAATTAGGTTTGAAGGTCATTAAGAGGTCATTTGATCTTAAATTAAGAAGTTCGTTTGTAGGATTTCGCCAAGGATACTTGAATGATAAACATAATAACTTTATTCATTTATTATTTTATACATATTTCCCGCTGCTATTGCGATTTAACAACACACGTACACTTTAAGCTTTGGATGGAATGCTTTCTATCTAGTTTTAGTTAGAAAACAGTCCAATGTTAACAAAAATATATATTTTTCTATGATCGAGGTATACATTTTGACTTAGAAATACTGTATTTTTAATCAATCATCAGCTTAAAGTGAATTTCATTAATAAAAATATATTTAAGATCCATGTATGTGTATTTCTAAGTAAAAGGTAACCTAAATCTATCTAAGTTTTGCTAAACATTAATAGTTAACATCTATTGAATTTGGGTTACTATTATCTGAAATAATTGAATATACTGCACTATCTCATCATCATTTTCATATTAGATGTAAAATTTTTGCATATATAATACTTAATTTGTGCACATTTTATTCAATTATTTCTCTTACAGTTTGAGACTCAATGTTATAATTATTTTTAAGTTTATATCAATCAATTGGATCCCAAACTGTAATATCCTATTCACAGATTACAGTAGATTTCAGTATTGTCATAGGAATAAGAGGTAAATATTTGCTATTATAATACAAAACATACTACTGATACAAAATGTGGATTGGATTATGTGGGAAAGGCTCAATGTGGACCCTAGGGTTGCCAAAAAAAAAAAGAAAACAAAAAAAGGCTTAAATCAATTTATTTATCTCATAAATAAACTAAATTGAATATCTAAAGGCATGATATAAAATAATATAGCAAGGAATATTTACATAAAAAGAAAATCATAAGATAGTTGATTAGAATGCTCAAATAAAATTTACAGCTTAGATTTTAACAAAGAATAATAAAGTGACAATAGATATTTATTAATGATTTCCTGCATTACACAAAGTTCTTAACAAAACAAATAGATATGGCAAGTTAATCAGTTGCAAATGATATTATATACCATTAAATTTAATAAAACAATTGTCTCCTGTGGGAAGTTTGAGCCGTTGTTGATAAGAAACATACATTGTTTGTAAGCAGATGCAAATCAAATAGTGTAAGTGTATTTACACGTATAATGATATTTTAAGCGTCTTCCACACTTTATAATTTTAACACTACTAATCAGTATATATTTACTATAACCATATAAGCAGTAACTTCATTGCCATCATCTAATTTTCTACTATAACATTTAAAATCATAAGACTTCTATTTTTTTCCTATCGAAACCAAACAATAAATTTATAATACTTTAAAAACATTTTCTAGCATTTTATAAAAATTACAAAAATTGTGATAATGTATATTTAAAAAAAAATGATGTGATAACAAAAAAAATACGCAATAAAATGTGGGTATAATTAATATCCTGGCAACACAGTAAGCACCTAGCATACGAACAGCCATTAAAAATGTACATAACAGTCTAATACATAGTACCTATACATAAGATTGCCACAGATTATATTTAAGACAACCTTACATAGATTAAGTGAGAACAGAGACAACAATTATAGTTACATTTATTATCAAGTGCAATGACTATAAACACACGTTACAGATGTATGAGTAACTCATAGGAAAACACTATATTTATATATATTTTATAATAATCTGAAGCTAGACATAATTTTGTACACGTATGGAATGTGATGTCTATCTCTTTTTTTGGTTAATAAAATAATTCTATGCACCATTTCATAAGAAAAATAATAAAGAATTTAACTATGATTTATTCTTTCATACTAACCATAGATGTAATGAATGTGGGGTAACTCGAAATTATATATTTTTTAATACATTTTATTCGTCGATCTACATAATAATTTACTAAAGGGGTATTTTTCATAATAAAAAAATTACATACCTGATTCAGCCATCTTGGCAGAACCATTGAGCATACAGCTAAAGTATATACAAACGCCGCAGATAACTTTATTACATATAATCTGCAGCTTAAGTAATAACAGAGATCGGATAAACAATTCCATAAGCGAATTTAAACTCAAAGAAAATATAATTAGAGCTCAAAATCCGATCTCGAAACTGTTTCCTATATGTTATGTGATTCAAATCTCGTTCTTAGGGCACTATTACTGGATAGCCATTTAACTGAATTGATTTGTGGTGGGCGGTATGGAGGGGCGCATCGGCATCGACCCCATGGGCATCATGGGCGCGTTCATGCCCATTACCATGGGCGGCTGTTGCTGGAAGAAAATTTAAAAGCAGCTTTATAATTTATTCCCTTTTTAATAAATATGGTAACAAAAATATTTCAATCAGAGGAATCAGAAATTCCATGATAGATTGATCTAGTTTTATGCAAAGAAATTATTTTTCCGAGCATTTTGGGCATGGTGACAATGAAATGTTGACAACGCCATGCGAAAAGACGCGTGCATACCTTATTACTATAGACGGATTTCCTTGCATACAAAATAATAGAAAATTTTAGAAAAATAATAGCTTACAACTTTAGAGGAATTTGAGCAGTATAATAAAAAGAAGCAAAAAAATAAAATATAGCAACTTACCAGAACAAAATGCGGGGGATGGTACGTATGGGGTAATGTATGGGGCATTGGCGGTAGAGTCATGCCTTGGCCCTGCGAAAGGTAAACATAAAGGATGCCATGCTAAGGGATGCAAAATAATAATACACAGTAAGCGTAGGACAGTTGGATGGTAGAATTTAAAATAAAGATTTACTGAAACTTAGAGGAATGCTCGAACGAGTGTTAGGAGATAATATATATTGTTGAATTAACCGCAATGTGGAAATATTTTATTTTATTCTTTGTCATACTCATACTAGAGACCAGAAACGAAAATTATGAAATAAAGAAATCTATAATCGTCCTAATCTTTCAAAAGCATCTCGGTTCAAAAAATAATGAAAATAAATGTTCTCTTAACGAATCTTTTGATCGAAGAACTAGAAAGACAATTTAAAAATATACAAAATTGTTTTTCACTAATGCTCATCTTTTATTAAAAAAAACTTGCATGGCTTCATATAACTCAACTATGCAACTTAGCTTACAAAAAACAAACTATCTCAAAGATTAAAAATATATACAGAAAATCTATTTATTAGAGAGGAGAACAAAATTGGGATACCAATCTTGTCCTCTTCTTTAATGACCTACCTTCCAATCACTATGCCCTTATCTTGTGTCCATTTATCATGACAACCCAAACCGACCTATCTTCATCCCCCCCCACTCTTTTTTGATCCTAATACCTTTTTAACCCCTCCCTTTCCTTACCATGGGTCTGTAACCCGCTCCAGTAGTTGCCTGCATTGGTTGCGGACTCCAAGCTCCACCAGGTTTGCAGCCAGTCTTCGGGCTCCACTGCATCGCTCTACATACGATATATTCTTAGTGGATTGTTCATTTATAACGTCCTCTAGGATCGTTTTAATTGAGCATTATTTGGAATGTCCCAAATAATATTTCGATGTTTGTTAATCCACACAGAAATATCGCTTTTTACTAAATACTAGACACACGTGGAAGCATCTACATGATGTTGTGTAAACTGTTGCTACTTTAATTTGGAATCTTTCAAAAACATTCCATTAGCTACTGTCATCACACTGTTACTACCTGTATAATAAAATGCTGTGAAAATGGCGGTGAATTGCTACTATTGGAAAATACTACGTCATTCAAAAAACTGTCTTTTTTTATTTAAATGTTATATATTTGCGTGTAGGTATATGGTGTTCACAAGTGGATATAATGTTGTGAATAGTAAATAATTAAAATAGTTCTCGATCATATTGCATGTTGATGCTTACACATAAGGGTCTCCAACTTTAAAATCAAATCGAGTCCAAAAACTATTAATAATAATAAAAATGTTTGCACGATCACGTCACTCGACAATATCAATATAAAAAGACTAGCTACAAAATTTTTGGGATATTCCAATCAAAGATGGACATTACATTACATTGCTGTCGCAAAAACGATAGAAATTCCCAATAACAGGCCAAAAAAATTCAATATTTAAGGACTTGACCTTGTAAAATGCTGAAGGTCATACAGTTTATTTTGTATACATACTTGGGAGCAGCTTTGTTGATAGTGAGATTGTTTGCGAGCTGAGCCAGTGAGGAATCTAAATCACCGGTCAGTACTTTATTCTGTTGAGGCTGTTGTTGTTGACCTAGAACATAATACAGATATAATCAATATCTAGAGACTTATCTACAGCTAACGTTAGGTGAATACATTATATTATAAACAGTAATTGAATAATGAGATAATCATTCTAAAAATAATTTATATAGATATGTATTATCAGGGATGGAACTAATTTGATTTTATAGAAACAAACTGTATCACAAAAAAGTGACCACAAACAAAAAATCCAGAACAAAACGTTTTGTCACTTTCATCAACCTATTTAGAATACACGTTACTTTCCGAAATCATTGAAATGTATAAACTAGTTACCTCCCTAATCTTAAACTTTGATGTCATAAAATCAGCAGTCATAGAGAAGTACATATATACAATATTAAAATTGTAAATGATATTTAGGTATAAAATGAGTCTTTATTAATTCGATGTTAAAATAAATATAACTATACAGATATTAATCGTTTGGTAATTGCTCTTGTAACTTCTTGACTGACTACTAATAACATTGCACATTCTTAGGAGCTACATAATTGTAATATGAAAGCACACTATGTATGAAAAGACTATTATAAAAAATTGTAATAAAATAATACAAACAGAAACATGCTAAGCTGAAATAATTATTTAAAATTAAAAAAACTTAACATATAGAAAAAATAAACATTAATATACACAAATTAGTCTGATAACAAAAAAAAACTTAATTATTTACATAGTCTATGTACAAATGTTAATGGCTGTGTTTATGTGCTAATATAAGCAAGTGTCCTGAAAACATAGCTGGCATCTATATGTGGGCACAAACACTTCACTAACATGAATCATGACATGGGAATCATACAATATATACTTTTGTTTTAATATGTAGTATAAATTAATACATATATTATTTTATCCAAGTGTATATTATTTATTTAAATGAAACTAATATTCTTCGGATTATTCTACGCAACTTTATTTTTTGTAAAAAACTACATCGTCCCGACGTTCCGCCTACTTTACAGCATTATGAATGCAGCAGCAAGTATGTAGTTTTTTTGCAAAAATAAATAATCTGAAAAATATTAGTTTCATTTAAATTAATGAAACTAGCAAAAATTTTAGATCTTATTATGTATATTATATATATTCCCATGTTGAGTTCGTGTATGTCAACCGCAAGTCATCGAACCCATGGCCATCCCCATCATCGGCTGCCTCGCTGGTGATCCGAACATCATGGGTTGGGACATCATGACGTCACCAAAGTGCTGCGTCATCGGCTGCGGCTGTTGTGTGATGGGTGCGCTCTGTTTCGCTGGAGAGCCCCCCAGTGAGATTCTCATAGCGTCCTCGAGGTCATCGAACGCGGATTTTTGGGGATTCGGTGGTGGGGGGCGGGCTGGGGACGCCGATATAGGCTGGGTTGGGTCTCCCATACCCATGAACGGGTTAGCAGCTTGCGTGAGATATTCATTATAAATATGTATACATTGATCAATGACACCATAATCATTGGTTTTTCTGACATACAAAGTATCAAAATTGACCTGACCTATCTTCTTAAGCAATGTTATTTCATCCACCTCATTCATTATTAAATTACAAATAATATAATACAATTCCGTCACCAAAGGGACCAAGCGTTCTGATATAGGGATGCCAGGTTTATAATAATTCCAAAACAATTTACAAAAACAAATGTATCTATTTCTAAGTTGACCGGACAGCCCTAACCAAGTTTTCTATGACTGGTTGCCTCACCTGCGGAGTCAGTGTTGAAGACGTTAGTGAAATTAGCCTCGGATACGAAGGTGTTGTTGGTGTTGGGTTGGGCTGGTTGCGATGGTTGCGTCGGTTGCGGGAAGGCCGCGAACCCGTTGCTCTGCCAGGCGGCGGGCGCGGGCGCGGGTTGCGGGGCTAGGGGGTGCGGGGCGAGCAACCATCGGATCTCGTTATATTGTATTTAGATTTGTTTATTGATGAATGTTTTATGTTTTGATTTATGCTGATTACTAGTCGAAATAAGTTTTTTAAATTACATGAAATGCTTCAATATTAATGTTTTAGTTGCATTGAAGTTTTCGCGTGAATAGAGTTATGATCGTTTTATCTGCTTTTGTATGTATTGAAACGAATTTGATTATTATTTTTATGTCGTGGTTTTTTCAAATATAATATGCGACTGTGGTGTTTTTGTAATTAAAAGAAATTAAAGTTATTCTATAGCTTTTTAGAGATATTTCACTATAATTGATGAATGTTATATTGCTTGTTACTTGTATTTCTTTTAATGTTATTAGTAAATTTTTTTTCAATTGTATTAATTTTAACCTTTCAGAATCCTTTAATAAGTTTTAAATCTACTATCTCCAAATAGGAGTTTTTGTAATTTTACTTGCGAAAACTTACTATGTATTTTAATATTTATAATATTGATTTATTTATTTTTTATTTGTACTTGTCATTTCTTGTGCGTAACTATCTACAGTGTGCGAGTATATTACAATGTATTGTGTTGTTAGTTTATCATCTGCTTGTAGGAATATCAGTTTGGGAGCTCGATTAGAATGTCAAAATAACAAAAACATGTAATTTGGACAGTCTAGGAACATTAGTCTAGTGTGATAATAATAATATGTATGTACAAAAAGAAAATTAAAATGTGATTACCTCCAAACATGTCAGCGAAGGGATTCCCTAGTGATAGAAGGTCGTCGGAGGCTTTGCCCCCCGTAGGAGCGGGTTGGGGCTCCGGTGCGGGCGCGAATAAGTCCACTACAGACGGACCCGTAGATAAGAATGGATTATTGGCTGAGTTTGTTGGCGACTGCACCTTGTTCTAAAAAAAAATAAGATTGTTACAGATTAAAAATATTTATAGTATTAATGGTAGTAATATAGTACATATATGGTAGATGGTAGTTGATTTTTTTTTCTACATGTCATATAGGTAGATTTTTTTCCAATAATTATGTATTTTATAATGTTTTGGTTAGCAGCTTTATAATGATAATCCCAATAATGATAACATTTCGATAGACAGACAAACAATGGTTGAACCATAGATTAGTGAAGCCCAAATGTGATTATGGTAATATGTAACAAAAATTTTTTTTGCAATGATATATGAAGCAGGTTGATCTTAAAATGTCAGCTGTAAACTATTACTATGAGGGAATATAATGGTATTCCCTTAAAATTAAGAACATACAAAAAACATCAAAACAATATTTTTCCTGCGACACCAACATAAAAAGCCATAAAATATCTTCCACACATTTATCATAATGAGAACATTATATTTGTATTTATTCAAATACATATGTAGAAAATGCAATACATAATGATTATCATATAAATCTCTACACATTTTCAAAGCCCCGATACACATATACATATTAGGATCCACAGTGGAAGGCACAAGTATGAAACCCCTTTAATATTTCAAATCTTACAAATCTTTCTGTTATCTGCGTGATATCCTCATCACCTGTAAATTCGTTCCCCTGATATAAGTGGACCTGGAATATTATTTTTATACAAATTTAGAACAATTTCAAACAGGAATATACATTACATATTACATATGGATCTAATATAAAAAATATTTATAGCAGATTTAGCACTAAATCATTTAAATTCCCTTCTAAAACCACTATATCTAAAACTACCTTCCAAAACCTATATTTTATTTTACTTAGTCAACAACCTTTCAACTTAATGGTCTCTCAATACCATCACCAATATAAATTAATTTAAAAATTTAATTCAAACTATAATTCTGTATTTGTCCTTATCTGAAATTAATGTTAAAAATCCTTCAATGTACATTACATTACTTACCTTTACTAATTCTGATAATATATATCAGATTCGTCATTACCTTGAATTAAGGGGACAAACATTGATTACATGAAATATAGCAGGCCTATTAATTATTTAATCTTTGGGAGTGTCATAATTGAACATATGACACAAATCTTAAAAACCGCATTAAAAACTACTTATAAATTTAAATAAATTAATTTTAGAACACCTTAACATTGTATCAATTTAATGCAACTTAAAATGTATTTACTCTTTTGACAATTAGTGTGTAAATTCAATATAAGGTTGCGTTTGATAGGAGTTCGAATTAAACCAAGAACCTGCTCATATAATTAATGTATGTCCCGATACAATCTTAGCCTTTTTCTCATACAGTTTACTATACCTTGTATTGGTTCATAGCTGCTTCTTCCTCAGCTAACGCCTGTTGTTTGAGCGAGTCATCTATGAACATACTGCCGTTTGACGCGTCCAGTCTAGTAGAAGCAGCCGCGTTACCGAACGACGATGACGTTGATGATAAGGCACCCATCACACTGGCAACGTTCTTTTGGGCGCTGGAATGTTTATTTATTAATTACTAGCTTTCCGCTCGCAGCTTCGCCCGCGTGGAGTTCGTTTATATGGCGTTTCCAAGAGAACCTTTCAAAAGTCTGGGATAAAAATTATCCTATGTTCTTTCTCAAGGTCAACTCTATCTCTGAACCAAATTTCATTAAAATCAGTTCAGTGGTTTAGGCGTGAAAGCGTAACAGACGGCAGAGTTACTTTCGCATTTATAATATTAGTAGGTATTATATGGCCATTGAAGTTAGTAGCCTTATCGGATTGTGAAATTAGCATTAATTTTTTTTATTTATATTTTGATACCTGATTTTTATGAAGTATGTTTGGGAATAAGAATAAAATTTATCAAGTTTTAGTTATGAATTAATCAGCCTTGAATGTTATCAATTATCATAGTTCTGCAGACCAAGTTATATGGTAATTTAAAGACCCTGTATAGTAAAGTATTACATACCTGGCGGTTTGCGTGGGAGTGTTAGCAGCGGAACCTTTTTTGCCTTCAAGGGTCGCGAGGTGTCCTTCAAGGGCATCCAAGAGACTGCTTGGGGCTTTGGTCAGGTCAGGGATGTCACCTTTATCAATACCGACATTTTCTGCCACCTGGAAACAGTTATTTTAGTTTTTAAATATCCAGATATTAAAATATTCAGATTTTATAAGTAAGATTATTTATTAGGAAGATTAAAATCGCGATGGCCTAGAGGTAGAGGCCAGCCTCTCGTGCTTGAGGGCGTGGGTTCGAAACCTGGCAAGTACTATCATGACTTTCCGAATCATGTGTACTTTCTAAGAGTATTTAGACACCACTGACAGATGAGGGAAAATATCGTGAGGAAACCTGGACTTTTAATTTCAAATTATAAGTTTCAAATCGTCAACCCGCCTTGAGCAAGCATAGTGATTAATGCTCAAACCTTCTCCATGTGAGAAGAGGCATTTTTCTCAGCAGTGGGCTTTGATAGGCTGATGATGATGATTAGGAAGCTCATTAGTGGATTTTTTTTCAAGTGTTATTGTAACTCACCTTCAAGAACTCTCCGACTCTATCCATCCTGATGAGGAATTTCTTATAGAGGTCGAGAGCGTCCCGACAGTTCTTCTTGTTCATATCAAAGTACTTCTCCAATAAGTTGATGATGCCATCATTATAGCAAGCGAAGAGCCTGCATAGAAACATTTGGGATGAATTTCTATTGTACTTATGTCTATAGCAAAATTTACTTCTTTTATACTCCTCAGTTGTAAGCAAAAATTTCCTTATCTATGGGAATCTTTTGTTATGGAAATAGAACTGATGTTCACAAATTTTAATTATTGATAAGTGTTCTCTTGTGAATGATCAAAGAAATTGTACTGTAGTGTTGATCGTACTCATAGACGAGGCAAATCTTAAGAACTTGGTGAACTGATGCCATTTGGCTTAGCGTTATAGCTTAACATTCTACACTAGTTAGTTGTATTATTATAATCAATATAATTTCGATATCTGTTTTATCTACAAGAGCCAAAACATCTTAGCCTTCAATGGATTCACCGAGCGGGCGCCGGGGTCCGTAATTACAAGGAGAGGAGCTTCAACAGTGCCTGAGACTTGCGAACCAGGTGTAGGTTTAAGGGGGCCCTATCTAACGCGCGTTAACCGCTCACCTCCACAGTCCAAGCAATATATGTATTTACTCATAAACTCTGTTACATAGTCTCACCTGATAAGATCCCTGAATAGCAGCATGAAGCACATATTGATGACTCCGTTAGTGAGGTCATTGGCCGTACAATCAAATTCAAGCAGCGCGTCGAGCTGTGCTTGTAGCACTGGCAGAGTTTTTAACAGCTTCTCAGCATTCATCATACGGAGGGAGCCCTCTTCTTTACTGCATTTCAAGAATAAGACATTACTGACGATCAACTTATCTATGTCCATAAAATCAAAAAAACATAACATTTTTATTTGGATAATAGATTTACACTGAAAATTTCATGAGTTATACTCTAGTAATCTTTGATGGAAGGATTAGTTCAGTATATACAACGCGATTTTTTATATAGGACAAATCTGACAGTAGTTTGTTTAGAATGAGTAACATAATTTAGTAGACTGGTTTTCAAGTGATGTTAAATTTTATCCCAACATTCAATTAATTTTTTATACTGTATTTTTAAGTACTTCTTTTTGGAGTGTTTGAGCTTTGGACTGTACGAAATAACACGTTATATATAGTAGTTATAGTGTAGAAAGAGTTGATATATTTGCAAATTACTATACTAATGACTTACCCCCTCTTGACCTTGCAGAAGTCAAAGGCGACGGTCCTATATGACAGGGCCTTCTCGTTGAGGTACTTGGCGTACCTTCTGATGAACGGTGACATGTCATATCCTGTCACATTACATATATTGACATTTGACATTGTATAGCCATTTATATGGTGTTAAATAGTTCTGGAGTTATGTTATATTTGAAATTCCATGAAAGGAAGTATACTATGGAATTTGGAAATGTATACTGATAGTAAATGTTATTATCCTGATCGAAAATTAAATTGTAATAATCATGTGGTTAAAGGTTGCTTGAAAATTTAATATTTATGAACTTACGGAAAAACATGAGTTGATAATACAACATTCTAAAATTTAACCCCCCATTGTAAATACTATTTACAGCTGTAAATACTACACAATTCATATTAATTCTATTTATAGTGCAAAGACGTAAAAAAAGCATGAGTAGAAAAAAAAACCAATCCGTGCAAATGACTTGCGTGCATTTAAAGTGCATAGACCTAGCTAGTACGACCTTTAGACTAAGATATGAGTCAATACATTATCTATTTATATGGAGGTCTAATTTAATAACTGAATAGAAACTACGGTAATGTACTATGATGGTTAAGGTCGAATGATTATTCAAAAAAAAAATCAATCTAACCCCATTCGTCTATATCAGACTTTCTCGTCATTGCGTGTCCGAGAAACGATACTGCAAGCACATATATGCCTACAAAAAATTATACAACATTTAGCTGAAAAAAACATAGATGCTTGAACTATTCGGCCGTTTTCGAGATAGCTTAAACATAATGAGCGATGGTGACAAAACAAACAGACAGTGCGAAAACAAATTGCAACCACATCCAAAGCGTGTCCTTCAAAAAAAATACAATACAACACAAAGCCCTCTCTCAAGTGTTCAACTCACCGATTCTTGCACCGGCGGCTCCTTACAGATGCAATAACAAATAATCATGATTAGAATATATTTTAAGATAAATTATAACTTAGTTTTCAGTAAACTAGTTTAAAGTAAAGTGTTCCATGCTATATTAGACAGTGTATTACATAAATTGCTGGTGCGTGTCACAGACGTACAACTAATTGCAATTATAACACTGGATTCTCAAGCGTCAAAACACAATGCGGTGTAACATAACGCAATTCGATAATACACTTGGGAATTGCGTAATTGCAAATTGTTTTTAGATAACGGTCTGAATTAGGAATTATTGCAATTTACAATCGAAAGATAATCATTGGATGTTATGTAAATATGTATTATGTATATAGATATTAGAATTGAATCACAATATTAATTCAGACATAGTAATTGAAAAATTTCATTAACTTTTTTGGAATGAAACATCAAATTTTTGGAGTATTAATAAAATATTCTACTGAGAATTTTATTGAGAGGTTTCAATTATTTTATTCATGAGCTTGTTTTGATGCTGATACACTGAAGGAAAACATAAAAGGTCGGAGGTTGATTGAAAACAATTATAAATATTAATATATAAACGTTTGAGTTTATTGGAAGATAAATAACATACGAGAAAAATAGACATCAAAACAATACAATTTATTTTACTAGATAATATCTTCAACAATAATTGTCTTTATTTCTAAAATATCCCTATTTCTGTAAACTTTTATAAGTATATTAAAAACAAGGATATAGCGAAACTTTTCTTACATAACTACGTCGGTGGTTCACCAAATCTTTGACAAATAAAACTAGAATACTTTATTGAAACATGTAAAAGATTTACCGGGATACTCATACATCTATGAATGTATATCGTTTTATTTATAAAATTAAATATAAAATATATAATTTTACTAAGTCAAATAATAAAAACTCCCAAACGCTATCGCACATACGATTATTTTGTTTAAAAAACTGTTTTCTAAATGCAATGTTAATAATAATCGGACGAGATAAAACTGACTGCAGTTACAAATATCCGTTGGGATATGAGGAATCACTGACCCATTATCACTCATAATATATTATTAACAATAATACAGTAATAATATGAATACAATGACTTATAAATTGAATAATTATTGAGGGTCATGTGCATTAACACAATACTATCGTCAAACAAAACTCTGAGAGAATTATATTAGAAGGATTATATTTGTTAAGGCGTTTATTATATACGCTATGGAATAAAAAGACATAAAGCCAGTACGTGATCAAATATCTTAAGATGTGGGTCAAATTATCTTTTATTATAAGGATAATATACATATATGTATGATATGGTGTTCGTTATAGAATCTCAATAAAAATGGGATGTTAATCTTAAGACTTATCTTCGGATCTTTAAATCTGACACTTGAGATGTTAATTGCTTCTTCGTTGAAGAGATTCCTTTTCCGTCAAGAGATGCTTATAATGTTTGATGGACCGATATCCATTACGAGATAAATCTCATCCCTGTTTAGAGCGCCCACGTACTGCTTCAGTATATTGAGGGATGTAAAAAAATTATCCATTTTCTAAACTAAACATTTTCTATAGAAAATCTCTATGTGCTAATGGGTGAATCTATATTTATGTGATTTTATATTATAGATAGCTCCAAAGAAAAATTGGGGTTCTTCTATAAAAAGATTAGAAAAAGTTTAGTTACCTATTTCTTCTGAGGACAATTATAGTGTGATTTAAGATGGTAATTTTAATACTTAACAAGGATTCTTTATAGTTATGAACGTCGTCGATGTATGTACATATGTTATTAAGGTCATTTCGGTTCATATTTTCTCAGGCCCGTACGAAGTGCGTAACTCTATTGTATATTTTAGCACTGACTAACATCTTATGAGTTTCGTCAAGGTCAACATTGTGTGAATTCTGCCTGCATTGCAGTTTTAGCTCTCTAAGGTGGCAGAAAAGATTTTAGGAAAGAAGTGTACCTATTCACGAATTTTATATGAAATTATATAATTACATATATATATATTATATATATATGTATGAATATACATGCATATATGTAACTATTAATTCTGTTGCTTAGTTGCCGATGTATAATATGTTTACCTGATAATTGAAATAATCGATAGGAATTTTTAAATTATTTAATTCCCCTCTTTTTGCTCACAAATATTTAGAAGGCCAAACGAATTTAAAAATAATAAATTTGTATAAATTGATTTATCAAAAGTGTTTAACTGTTTATCACAAACAATAACTCATGTCTGTATAATGCCCGAGCAATAAAACATAATAAAAATAAAATAATCCATATAATAGTTTTATAAACAAATCGATTATAAATTCTATTCTAGTAAACATATCTTGTAATTGCAGCTATTATAAATATAGTAGGATATTGTAAGTTCGCAACGAGTCGTCGACCTTACGACTGGGAGTCACTATTGTAATTACGAAGTACTTGGCTATAGTTAAATGTATCGTGCTATACGCTTACCACGAGTATTGAGTCATCACTACATACGGAACTTAAAGAGTTAATCATTCATAAATCTCCGCACATTGCAATATTAACCTAGGTTATTGAAATAGAACGGGAGACGCTACGTATGTAGTGACGATCTAAACCTATACTTAGCGTTAAAAGTTTTCCTTAGACTCAAGTTTGATTAGAATTATTCACATTTGAGACTAGTCACCTTTCAAATTCACATTGGCATACAAAAAACGTCATTTGTTTAAGAATTTTATGACATTTGTAAGCTGTTTTGATGTGTTAATTAAAACAAATTACAATTTCTTTTATTTAGACACAGCTAAGTTATAGTCAAGTTGAGAATATTAAAATTTGTATACTATACATTATAAGCCTCTTTCCTACATCGCCTAGACAGTCATGCCAAGTTTGTAAATTCGACCGCTTTACCCCATTCGAAATAGGTCATACAGAACGTAATTTCACTCTGATCTTGGCATGTACTAAGTAACGTTTATATTATGTAACTTTAGTATATAAGATTACTTTTTAATGTTTTCTATGTAATTTTAAGACCAGTCATATGTAGATATATTCCGACTCAGTACACTCTATGTAACTAGCTATATCAGGTTATTAAAACTATTGTAGTTATGTTTAATTGTTTTATATTAATTTATAACAAATCAATAATTACTATGAATCTATGTGATACATACCTTGAACCCCACTCTTGTCATGGAAATTGCTTAATTGAAACGTCGAATTGCTCGACGCTAAATATTGCGTGAATCTCTGTGAAAGAAAAATAATTGTGACATTAATATGTTATACGTTTCATAAAAGCGACATTTTAATACCGAAGCTGTTTAAATACACGAACGTGGTGGCACTGTGGAGGCAATTAAAGAGTCTTTCATTGGTTTGAATATTCATTCATTTGTTAATTGCTTTGGATATTAAAACGTCTATTATGGGATACTTTTAATTACTATTTCAGACTTTATGTATTATCATTATATATTTCGAAAGCTTTATATCTATAGTATATAAATGTAAAATATGTATTTTCTATAGTATATTATTTGTAAAGATTTTTATTTCTGAATCTTTCAAGTTAAATCTTTAGATTGTAATATTTCTTATCGGTAGTAAATTGTCACGGTAATTAACTACAAGTCAAACAAATAACTGTTTCTTACATTTAATATGAAATATAAGTTACTAACTATAGCATAATACCTACACGTTTCCCCCCAAATAGGTATTCCCCAGTTGAATCACTCAATCAATACAATCGTATGATTAATATAACAAATAAAACTACCCTCATTTAGTTCGATAATTTATAGAATTGATTTTTTTAGGGTAATGGGGGCAACCGAGTGGACGGCCTTGATTAGGGAAGAGGGGAAGGCAAAACTGGGAAAGGGAGGGAAAAGGGAAGGCGTAGGAAGGGATGGGAAAAGGGCAAGGATTTAAATGACATTTAAATCATAAAAGCATAAGTTCAACGAGTGGTTTTGTAAGTGAACTATCGTAGACTTCTAACGAATTCGAAGGTTGTACGTATATTATGCATTTAAATGAATGCAACAGCAGTTCAGGTTACTTGTCTAATGTCTTTATGATGACGCTGAAGGTCTTTTGGTGGAATTAGTAAGAATATTTGATGGGAGTTAGCGCTTAAAGTCTGCCAAATAAATTTTGTGTTAACTATTGTTCGTGAAGCACGCTGATTAAGGAATACAATCTCGAGATGAGATCACTAAGTCGAGATTTCGGGGAATCATAAATACGATCTTCGCGAGATACCTCGAATAGATTTTTAAAAGTATTATTTTAAACAGATAATAATTTTAGCAAATAGAAAGAAATAATTTTAACGAAAGTAATGATAGAGTGAAAAATAATCTACAAAAATTCTATTTACAAAATCACTCTTTAATACGAGAGACGAGTGATTACTCCTAACTAAATTAATCCCGTCAATCTCGGCTGAGATCTCATCATTTTATGTTTCGAGATCGATCTCGAAAAATGAGGCGAGATCTCGGAAAATCACGTTTTTTTTTCCCGAGATTGAGTCTCAATATTGATATGACGTTTTTTCATACAAATTATAATTCGAATGACGTAAACATGAAGCAAGTTTTAGAACATTTTTTTTACAAGCCGTCAACGTATTGTAGTTTGTCGTCAATACCACTTGTATCAATAAACTTCGCTATTTTTATACTCAACAAGTTTGTATTGTGTAACAAAATAGTGTAAACGATTAACGGCATTATGTTATTTATGTTAAAGACGATAACCGTCTGTCGTGTTTCGTAATTGGTCGATGCGCCTTGTTAGTGTTTCGAGTTACCGTGTCATGGTAATGCTTCCACAATATATTTCATATTAATTTAAAATGTTATATTTTTTAACCGTCTTTTATTTAAGATAATTTTATTAAGATTAGATTTCTATGAAATTTACAATATGAGAGTAAACTTCAAAGGTTTTCAAGCCCAACTAACAAAGCACTTGCTACTTACATACACTTGAATAGATGCGTGACAAATTCTTTAACACGATGCACATCAATCGATTAATTGGAAGAGAATTAAAAGATAATGTCGAAATTCCTTAGAAAATCCTCAACTTACGGATACAATTGATACATATTAAGCTTAATCAAATATAAAAAGGTGTATTTTTATTAACATTATATCGTTTTTGAATTCTAAACATTACTATATCAAATACCGTATCTAAAACTATACTTCATTATTTCCGTTTATGTGTCAGTTAAAATTGATGGTATGGACACGATATAATCTAACGAACTTAATCCTTATATATATATTTATATATACATATTAGTTTTTGCCCGCGACTTCATCCGCGTTAATTTCGTCATTGGTAATATATGAATAGCTGACAGGGCGAACTCTATTCCGTCTTAAATAACCAGGTATTGATATTTATTAAATTTTTCCAGTTTCAGTTGAACAGAATGATTGACATATTAGTTAGTTGTCAAATCTAATGTCAAAAAACTTTTGTATGGGAAATAGAAAGGGGCTGTTTTTAGGGTTTTTCCGGAAATGAATCAATTTTTTTCCTGAACCTCCACGAACATTTCAATACTAAGATAAGATAAATCCGTTCAGTCGTTCTCGAGTTTTAGTAACACAAACGAACAGCAATTCATTTCTATATATATATATATATATATATATATATATATATATATATATATATATATATATATAGATATAAGATATATATTCAAATCAATATTATCGAGATTTTAATATGATAATTTAAGCTCACCTCATTTCCATATGCGAGTAAGTGATGTACAGTAATGAGTGCCTTGTAGACAACCACCCAGTTAGTGTTCTGTGTCCTCTCTACCAACAAGTTGGCCAGCTGTGGGATCGACACATTGGGCTCGTTTGTGCAATGTACTAGATCTGGAAAGAAAACGTTTATTATTATATGATTAAAAAAACGCGATAATCGGTGATTTAGAGTTTTATATATACAAAAAAGTATTTAAATGAAACCAATATTTTGCACACTACTTCGCGTATTATATTATTCTTTAAAATTACATATTTCCGACGTTTCGGTTACTTTGCAGCAGCCGTAATCACGGATAGACGAAATGTATTGACATGACCGAAACGTCGGGAGTATAAAGATTTTAAAAATGATCAAATACGCGTATGAAGTCATCCGAAAATATAAGTTTCATTTAAACGGAAACTCGCGAAAGTTTTAGATCTCATTAAAAAAAAACTTATTCCGTATAGATTACAATAAGTAAAAATATAAGGTACAATGAACCGTGAACGTAATAAAACCACATATAGGAATCTTTTGAATTTATCTTTAGAACTTAAGAAATTACTACTAATATTAGAACAGCATAAAAAAAATGATTTCAGTGAATAGCAGTTAAAAATGTATAATTCATTTCGTTCAGAAAAATCTAAGTGATATTCTTTTCTTTCCCAAGATAAAAGTACCTCCGAGAAAAGTGTCTTTAATGTAAAGGTTTATGTATATTTGAATATGCTTGCTATATTGCTATAACTGTAAAGCAAGGCGAGTTTTGATATCGAGACCGATTTAAAATCACCAAATATATAACTATAATTTCAAATAATAGTACAGTAGGTAACATTTTCAGACAGTATTTTTTAAATCATACTCAGAAAATATGTTACTTCAAGTAAGTTATAAATAAATTAAAAAACGACGATTTTGTCGATAACATACGAATACAGTAATATAGTGGAAGAGAATTTGGTTTTATGTAAATCTTTTATACTATTCATCTATATACGAAATTAATTAATCGAAAATGATAATAAGAAACCTTAATAAGGTGTTTTAAATGTCGTGCACAATGTTTTGAGAATAACTAAATATAAAACTATCATTATCAACAGGTATACCGTATACCTATACTGTCTATTACAAGATATAAATTTCTCAACGACCCAGTTAAGTTAAATTGATTTAACTCGACAGTGTGACCTTTGCGGTTGGATGCAGAATATTGTATTAGTGCTAAAGTAAATAACGTGCATTATAAACATAGATCGACAGTAGCATATAAAAACCAAAAAAAATATCATGGATTAGATGTTAAAAATCGCTTCAGACTTGAGCTATCAATAAAAGCAACCTACTTGATATATTTCTTTGACTTAGAAGTCATAAGAAAAAGTTATATAATTATTATATTGTATTTCAATACTTTAAACATCATGTTACAATAGCAAAATATTATAGAATTGACTATAATATGAAAATTGTATTCAATTTAGTTAAAAGGGTTCAATAATCACGTAATCGTATGGACCGGGAAATGTTATGGCTCCGACCGTTTATAACTTGTATGGGTGTGAAAAATAAAAGCAGTTTTCGTCTGCAGCAGGACTTACATTTTAACCAAATTCTATGTATGTATGTATTTTAACAGAATATTATCCTATTTCAAACTACTCACACAATATCAGAAATGATTGAAAATATGTATATCTATCAATATATTTATACATACATATGTATATATTTTTTTTTATGGCCCAAAGGGGCAAGCGAGCAGACGGCCTACCTGATGGTAAGTAGCTACCGTCGCCCATGGACATCTGCAACACAAGGGGTGTTGTTGATGCGTTGCCGGCCTTGTTTGGAAAGGAGCCACCTGAACACGTGATGTTTGAAAGACCCCATGTTGTAGCTCACTGGAAAAGCTTCGGGCGGAAGATCATTCCACATCCCGCACGTGCGTGGTAAGAATGAACGCGACGCACGTACAGTCTTGCAATTGAATGCATCCAGGTGATGTGGATGAAATCCAACCCTACACCGAGTAGTGCGATGGTGGAATGTAGAAGACGGCTGGTATATACAGCAGTTGGATATAACTTAAATGTTAGGTTTGTTCTTTTGCGTGTATTATTTTCATAAATACTTGACCTTCATCTAAAATACCCAAAAATATTGCGATATGTTAATTTATATAAAATATTAAAATTACATGATTTTTTTTATTAGGTACACCGACTGTTCAGTTGTTTTCTCACATATAAACTTTGTTATAACAAAAAAACGGACAAAACCGCGGGCGTATACTAGGTCATAATAATAAATTCAAAATATCATATATCAAATAATATTTGAAACAGCTGATATTCGGATGTCTACTCTGTGTTAGCCAGTTGAGGTATCCAACGAACCGTGAGTCGAGGCGAGTCATTAGAGGTATTATAATGAGAGTGAATTGGAAGCTGATATCGGTCGAAACGTCGTTAGTGATGAGGTCAACTTTAACAGAATCATTGTCTCATTCGCACTTGGCCCAATTCACTAATGGATGTCCAGCTACCGTACATCATTGTTTCAGAATTAGTATTTATAGTGTCTATTGTATTACGACTATAATAATTTAGACTAAAGTACATATATAAATGAAACTACGTCAGTGGTGGCCTAGTGGTTAAAAGACCCGCCTCTCATGCACGAGGGCGCGGGTTCGATCCTGGCCCGGGCAAGTACCAATGTGATTTTTCCGAGTCATATGTACTTTCTAAGAGTATTTAGACATCACTGATTAATGCATTCCCAGAGAGGGTTGATGTCAGGCAGGCGGCCGGTCGTAAAAACAATTAGCCAAAACTATTCACAACATGTAAGGCAGATCCTGGCTAAAGCTGGGAAATTGTCAGGTAGAAGAAGAAGACATATATAAATGAAACGAATACTTTTCGGATGCATTACGCGTCTCGTCTGCCCGTGATCACGGTTGCTGAAAAGTAGCCGAAATGTCGGGAGTATGTAGTTTTTTTAAATAATAAAATACGCGTAGTATATCCGAAAATATTAGTTTTATTTCAATGAATAATACTCGAGAGTCTTAGATCTCAATGTACATATTATATATTCGCTTTTTACAAATATTAAATCACAATTGTAAATTATTAATAAAGGGCATTAGCTTTCTATTTGAGCAATTTGTCTGGTCTAGACGGGAGTCGTATTGATTTTCCGCTTCCCCTCGTGTGTGGGTTTGATAAAATATTTGATGCTTTAAAAATTGTCGCAACCCCCTTTATGTTTTAAACCCTTTTAACGTCAAGGGAAAACCAGTGCTTTGATTGTCACGTTCATAATACCTTATTTTCTATATAAATCAAGTACTAATATAAAAAAAATTAAAGCACTCCGACCTAATTCCCAGTTCAAATGTCACGATTTTAGTGAAGAATACTATGATCTTTGTATTGCATTTCTTTGTTATTTTTATTTATCTAATGCCATGATTGTTCTGAATTCTTCAAACGTCTTTCTCAACGACTCAAAATGAAGTTGGCTTTATAAAAATTTTGTAGATTAATTTTTTTATTAAAAAACCTAGAAGTAAACACGAATATAGAATTTAAACTCCACGGGATAGGAAATTTTACGATCGCGTGATTATTTTTCTTACTAATAAATACGTTTATCATAGGGTTGAAACTTTCCACTAAAAATTATAATGATATGTGAGAAAGGTATAACTAAATTAGAATGAAAAATCTTTCTCACAACAATATTATTAAGTTGAGTTATATTTTGTCATGCCGGTGACGTATCGACCGGTCACACATGCAATTGTTAACAAATCAATCACTTTAAATCTCTCTTAATTCGATTAAAGTTTTGAACTTGTTTCGTTTAAATGTCAATGTATGATAATTTTATTTATTGCAATTTCCATACATAGCTAGATAATAATATTTATATTTTTTTTAAGCTTATATGTTTTGAAAAAATAAAGTTTATGGAAGCCGTGATATCTCATGCAACTACAGCCACGGGCAAAAGTATTAGGCACCCTACAGTAAGACAAGTTTTAGGGTGTTTTAGCATAGCGAGTGTAAATAAAACGGCATTTATGATTACAATGGTTTATTTTAAGAAAATAATTAATATTTTGTAGGTCCACCTTTTGACTTAATAACCGCAGCCACTCTTTTTGGCATTGACTCTACCAGCCTGAAACATTCTTCTCTTGATATATTTTTCCATTCCTGCTGTAACGCGGCCAATAGAGCTTGTTTATTGCTAATCGAGTGCCTGCGGATATTTTTCTTTAAAATGGACCAAATATGCTCAATCGGGTTGAGGTCTGGTGATTGTGGTGGCCCGTCCAAAAGATCAATATGATTTTCAGCAAACCACTTCATGGTATGCGCGGACTTGTGGCAAGTGGCATTGTCTTGCTGAAATTTCAGGCCATCGGTGTTTGTATCACCGAAAATTTGCGTTATCGACGTTGCTAGTGCTGTTTCCAGAACTTCAGTGTATTTAACACTATTCATTCGTCCCTCACACAACACCATTTCGCCCACTCCGTCAGCAGCCATGCAGCCCCAGATCATTATTGAGCCTCCACCATGCTTAACAGTGGGAACCACACATTCTGGGTTGTATTCTTCACCAACCCTTCGCCTAACATAAGTCACACCGTGTGTTCCAATCACCTATGCCAAACGAAAAAAACCCATTTATTTTCAAAGTTATTATTTTTCTTGCAGTACGTTATTTTAAAAACATTTATGTGTTTTAATATTGTACATAAAATAAATAACAATACCTCAAAGTTAGATTCGTCTGACCACAGTATGTTGGACCAATCTTCCACTGAACAATCTCTATGTTTGAGTGCCCACTCCAACCGATTTTTCTTATTGTGTTCTGACAGCCACGGCTTCTTCCTTGCTTTACATCCTTTTAATCCAGCTTTAAGAAGTCTTCTTCTCACAGTATAAACACTCACTTAGCTGCCTTTTGCCTCAGATAATGCTGCAGCGAGCTCTAAAAAGTTTTTTTTTTTTCCTGTTTTGTAGAGACTGCCTAATCAACAATCGATCTTCCCGTTCAGTAGTAACTTTTCTTCTGCCTGTTCTTGGTCTATTTTAATGGGTGCCAGTCTCTTTGAAGCGATTTATAGCATATTGAACTGCACATCGCGAGCACTTCACTTCTCGGGCTATTTTAACCTGAGACATGCCTTGTTCATGTAAAATCTTAATTCTTAGACGCTGTTCAGCACTAAGTTCAGATTTTTTCGGCATGATTAACACGTTAAATGTTAGTCTTTAGAATTGTGATAGGAATAGTTGCGTAGAAGACGTGTATGTTCACTGCAAGCACTGATAACACACTATAACCCGAAACGCAAAAAAAGCAAATTCGAAGAAACACCGCTTAGGAGCACACCTGGATGTCATAAATATTTTCTTTTATCTTAATTTGGTTAAAAATTGCCGCTAATACAATAGCTAAACCATAAAACACACACTTGACCGCTATATAATGAGATAGTGACTAACAATAGGGGTGCCTAATACTTTTGCACGCAGCTGTATCTTGTTGCTATGTGCGTAGGGTTGAAACCAATTCCAAATTAGGGTTGGCGCAAAATTATGTTATTCACCAAAAAAACAAATTATACCTACAAAAAAATTAAATGGAGAATATATTTTACACACTAAATCATACATAATTTGCCATGTAAATCCAAACAGAATTATATAAATCTTTTTTTAAAATTATATTTTGTGTATCAACAAACAAACTTTAACCATTAAATTGTTACAATAAACAGAACAATAGCACAGGAAGTGTCCCTGTCCGTTCGTTTATCATGTTACACTCCAATCACATTAGTAACATTCAGATACCAGACATACGGACCTCGAAAATCACAAACATCTGTTTTAATACTAACATTCACATACATAGCTATCTGTTACCAAATTATCTGATTGACTAAACCAGACCTGTAACTATGTGAAAAATTTACATGTTTTTTACAGATTTATGTTGATTATTCACCGATTTTGGTGGCAGTTATTTAAGCTAACTAAATATTATAAAATTTTAAAAACTTTCCTAAGCATCAATTGTTATTTCAGAGATAAAACCTCTCAGCATTTAATGTATTCATGGTGCAGGTTCCGTGTGCATCATTACAGGGAGAGGAGCTTCAACAGTGCCTGGGACTTGCCACCCAGGTGTAGGTTTAAGGGGCCCCTATTCTAATGCTTATATTCTGTGCTTAATTGTGTAAGTATAAAAATGCCTACCAATATTTGGGAAAATAGACAATAATTCTTACTCTGTTGGACCAAGCTCACCGAACTTAGCTAAGAACTACTGCAACTAAGCTTTCTAATAAAAAACGGCCACATTGAAATAAGTCAATCTATAAAGTAATCGAACTTACAACACCTCTCTCGTACAATCTCAGATAAAAAACATAAAATATTAAATCACAGTTTTAATTCATAATGGATCATAATCAATATGTATTTACAGTAGGACCCCGATTATCCGGACCTCGGTTATCCGAATTCGCGATTATCCGGACTGCCAATCGCGACGAGTTTTTTTCGGAATGGTCGAGATCCCGTAGAATTTTCAGGATAAAACCTATTTTTTTTTAAATTCACAATGAAGTACTCTTAACCAACAACATATTTATTTGTTTATTTGAATAAAGATTAGTATTATTAAGATTAATATAATGTTGATACAACTTAAACAAATTATTTCGACCAAATTAGATACCATAAAAACGGTTTTTGTGAGTTAATCTTAAAAGATAGACATATACCGTCGCAGACTGCTTTTTAGATTATTAAAAGAGCTATTATTCTTTAAAACATATTTTTTGTGTATCTTGAACCGTTTTCACGGCGCACCCAACGGAAGTCTTCAAAGATGAAATAAAATCTCCCGTTTTTTACACATTTACCACTATATCTTTATTCCTATTGGTCGTAGCGTAATGTTATATAGCCCACAGCCTTCCTCGATAACTGGACTACCCAACACAAAAAAAATTATTCAATTCTAACCAGTAGTTTCGGAGATTAGCGCTTTCAAACAAACAAACAAACTCTTCAGCTTTATAATATTAGTATAGATATGCAAATGTCCCGTTTTTCTTCATATATTGGATTATCCGGACTTTCAATTATCCGGATGCCTACCGACAACAATTAGTCCGGATAATCGAGGTCCTACTGTATTAATAAACATATAATAGAAAAACTAACAAGTCATTCTTTTAAACATCATACTTATATAAATTATAAATGTGAAAGTGTGTCAGGATGTATGGATGTATGTTGTTAATCATACAAAAACTATGACTCTTATGCAACATCACGGTAGTTACAAATTGATGTATAAGGCTCATTTTTATTGATCTCACTGTCCGAGTATGGACAAAGCCGTGGAAAGGAGATAGTGCAGAATAATGAAAACAAACATATATACATATATAATAATTCAAGCTTAATATTAAATCATCAATAAATTGGATATAAATATAACATTGAAAGAATTTTTCACAGTTCAGTATGTTAGAACAAACAAACAATCTAATTTGTTTTATGATATTTTTATAGTTGGGTGTAATATAAATTTTGGTTTACAATACTTGACTGTAATACTAATATATAATTATAAGATTGTTCAAAGAACCTGTGTAAACTGGAAGTTTTTAAATTACCATATCCCCCATACAGTAGGGGAATCAGTTGTTTAAATATTGTAAATAATAAAATTTAGATCAGGGCTTTATTACAATATTATTATAGCTGCTTACTTTTATGAATAATTTCATATCATTAACAATTATTATTATACATCAGTTTTATATAGATAAATATATGAAAATAGATAAGTGTTTTTATAATCTATAACAAAACCAATATTAAGTCTTCCTCTTCCTTTAAAATGACTCATCTTCATAGTGATTTTATTTTTTACAATAAGTAAGCTTTATGAATGAAAGTTTCTATAAAAACTTAGAATAATTAACTTAAATAATTTGAAACCACTTAAACAGATTAAATAATATCTCATCTTTGCTTTCTCATTATATTAAGATTTTAGCTGTAGTAAAGGTCATGTTTCTTAAATCTAAAGTGTAGAAAAGTTACCAAAATGAGAATATTATATAAGTACATCTTTAATGAGTGATCTTATGAAGTCATTAATTTAAAATAATTTTATATCCCATTTCAGTGTTATGTTAAACGATAAATCTAATCTTATGTTAAGAAACAATTAATAAAAAAATACAAAATTAAAGTTATTTAATATTTTTAATGTAATCAAGATTTCATCTCATAATACATCATTCTGTTTATATATTTTTAATTAAATTATATACTTGATGGCAAGACCCATGTATAAAATATATTATTTAAAGCTATGAAATAAGACAATGAAATAAGTCATTTTATAAGACCCTTTTCTAATTGGTATCAGAAATATACAAATATACTATTATAATTATATTTTATTAAATTCCATACAAATCTTTTAGTGTGAGTAATGGTTTAAAAAGCTTTCTATTATTAAATCATTTATTATATTACTTCTGTGATGTCATAGAATTAATTCTTATTGAAATAACATATATAGCATTTCCTCTTCAAATAAGATTGATATGGGTAATAGTATTAAGTAATATTTTAGCATATTTGAGGGTACAGGCGGTCCTCGACTTACGTCGTTTCGATTTACGTCGTTTCAAGTTACGTCGAACAATGTTTTGACACTATTCCTCAAGCATACGTCATTTGTTTCGATTTCCGGCATATCGGAGAATTCACTTGTCGCAACTTTTATAATTATTATTAAAATTAATAACACACAAATACCAAAAATAACTAGCAATTTCATAAGTGCATAATATATAATTATTTTAAGAACTTACTTTTAATAATAAAGTACGTCCTTTGTTATAAATGCAGTTTTTTTTTTATTATTTCGAGTCCGTGTGGAACCTAACCCTTGAGTTTTACATGTAAACATATGAAAAAATATGTCTCGACTTACGTCGTTTCGATTTACGTCGCGTATTTCAAGAACCTAACATGCCGTAAGTACGAGGACTGCCTGTACTTAAGAATATTTTCAGTATAGGGCATGGGGTAATGATAGTTTTATATTTTAGAGTAGGTATGTCTATAAAAGGGTTGTAGTAAGAATTACTATCTCGCCTAATTGGAATGAAAATTTATATAAGTTTCTAACAGAGATATGCTGTCGGCGGTAGTTTTTTATAACATCTTTTTATACTCCAGTCTTTACAATATGACATAATAGAGAATGTGTGTCAGGTCGCATGTTATAACACAAAATGATGTAAAGCTATTCATTGTCACTTAAAACTGTAGTGAAAAAACCGTATACAACGGATCAACGGCTGTTTCGCTGAAATGTAAAAAATATCGACCATTTCTGCCAATGTCACGACACTCGACAGAAATGAAAATCATGACGTAGTTGATAAGAGTTTTATTGTCTTACCATATATAATACTTACAATCTAAATGTTTCTTTTTGGGTGCAATCATCTCTTCGGTTGTTGCTTTACATACTGATTTTGCTAATCCCTGCCCCGCGATACTATGGCGAGCGGCAAGGAGCCTGTCGTTTATCGTCTGACCCGCCATCCTCACGTTCAGTCCTGACATAAACTGCTTCTAAACACTATTCAACACTGATTTTTGCGATTTATTATATTCTCAAAATTATGTAGGACGATGACGGGTAAAATATGTCACCGCCCCCCCGACTGGCACAATACTAATTTCAAGATGGCTGACTATAGTATATTCAGTATTGCCAGATTGTAAGTTATAAAATTCTGCCACAAAATTAACTCAGGTTCCAAGTAAGAAACTAAAGATTATATATTATTTTTACAGATAGACGATCGACTTGCAGTAATTTTGATTAAAATAATTAGTTATTATTTAACTATTATTTAATATACAATATCCTTTGATGGCTCAGTGTAGTTATTACCATCGACATAACTAATGGACATGCCGTACGCGTATAATCTGCAGTAATTTTTTGGTTTGAAACGAGTGAGAGAGATGGCCTATGCTTTCGGTCTAGCATTCCTATCTCTTTCCTCATATGTGATTTGCGCTCAGTTTTCATGACAAGCTCGGCATATAAATTTATTTCGCCCTTAATTATAAGCGCTGGCATTGCATCCCTCCACAATTCACGTTACTCTGTATTGTGGATAGCGTTGCGTCCGATGTGTTTGTAGTAAAGACTGATAGTTTTTGTTATGTTGTAATTTTTTTATTAGATAAATTTTTGTATTCAATTTATTCTGAAAATAAAAATATATGAAAAATGGTTCAATATTGTTTTATATGCAAATGGAGAGCTGATAAAGAACCGCGAAGATCTTTTCACAATTAAATATATAAAAAATGACAATTTAAGGTAATATGTACATTTATTACAAATTATTATAGTTATTAATTATCAATATATTGTCTATAAGCAACTTTTTAAATATATATTTCTCATTTATTTTAGATTTCCGTTGAAAGAATCAGAAAAACAAAAATGGCTAAGCATTATTGGAAAAAGTGGTGAGAATATAGGTAAACGGATATCAATCTGTTCCATTCATTTCGAGAAGTCTTGGTTTCGCTATGGATTAGTCAACAACAGAGAAATGCTCAAACCTGATTGTGTTCCATCTTTATATTTGACTAAAACAACTGGTGATAATTGAACGGATTTTTTTATTTACAATAAAAAAAAGAATGCTACAAATCAGAGAACGTGAGGTTAAACTTAAAGCTGTATATAACATTAGGAAAAAATAAATTTTCCAGAAGGGGCTCATGACTTCTTAAGTACGGTACTATTTTGAGAGAGATAAAGATAAACCGAAACTTCGTTTCCTCACTTTCTTTCGGAGTGCCACAATTCTCATCTCTAAGGCATGTCCATTAGTAGATGTCGATGGTTATTACATGAGTGTTTTCTTTCTAACTTGTTATAAACAAATTTAATCTCGTTTCTTAAAAACCTATAATTTTCTCGCAATTGCCTTTCTTACATTTTTTTGTGAAAGGGGAAATTATTTGAAACTTTGTGTCTACTCCTTAAATGAAATGAAGAGATTTAATATTAGATACTTTTTTCATCAAATGCTTAATAAATAGATTTGTCGAATGATCAACAGCTGTCAGTTTTTTAACTGATGACACTTGTGCTAAAATCATAGACAAATATAACATAAGTATACCTCATAAGTGAAATCGTAGAATTGATAAATTCGATGAAGACTGTTTATTATTAATTATAAATGAATATACTTTAAAATATTTTTATGAAATAAGAAACCCTAAACCAATAAACAGGATAATTTATTCGGTTGTTCAAAATGGCCGAATCGTAAATTTGTGTTTACTGCTTAAAAACAATTTACAATTCAATTGTTTTCCATTCATTGATACTTGATAACATTTACAATGGTTAAAAAGAGAGGAAAGAAAACGAACATAAAAAAAGCTGTTGCAGTTAAGCAGTCACCCATTACGGAGTCTACCACATCAGAAGTAATAGCAGCATCTTTAGTTCACCAATCAGTTTTTCTGAAGGTTTGCAGACTGTGCGAGGCTAAAGATGGGCCGTTCCTTAATATATTTGAAGCTGATAAACTTACTGCGAAAAAAATTGATGCCGTCATGCCTTTCAGGGTAAGTAGTCGTATTTTTTAATAACATTTTAAGGATGAAGTAAAACTTTTTGGTAATGATAGTGTAAAAACAACATAAAATACAATCAATGTGTAACATTAAAGTTGAATTGGAACATTCTAAAATAGACGATATTAATTTTGGATACTTAGAAGGATTTCTTGAGGATTAAAAAATATAAACATTTTATATAATCATTAACAATATATATATCAAAAACTTAAAGAATAAAATGTATAAATGTATGTATGGCTTCATGATTAAATGTGACTAACTACATTACTAATCAGCCTCTTATTAAAATTAATATTTTCTGTTTTAAACGATATGATATCTATTTACACTCCCATTAAATATTTTATAAATAACTGGTTTGAAAAAAAAAATTACTATAGATTTAAAATAAAAACCAATTAACAATATGTATGGCTATGAAATTGAAAAATGTAATATTTTAAACTTTTGTTAGTAAATTATATAGTTTTTTGTTCTTCAGTTAATCATGATTTAATAAAGTACTTTCTGATATACTGTTCATTCCTTTTGCATCAACGGTGATAACAACAGACAAGATGTAAAGAAACCAAAACATTGGGGTTATTTAGTTTTAAAGTAAATAAAAAATGCATAATACTTCTGAAGTTTTAGTTTTGTATAAATGAATACATGCGAAAATCTTGGATATCATAAAAATAATGATTCTGTGGTTTTAAAGAAATAAAATAATTATATTTTAAGCTTCGAAATTCTTATTAAAATATTAAAATTACTATAGTAATTTATTGTGTTATACTATGTATTTTTTCCTATTAATGTAAGGTTTTGTCTGTTTTGTTTTACAGATTACCGAGAATGACGATTTACCACATAAAATATGTTTCCGGTGCTCAGCAAAACTTGAGGAATTGTATGAATTTATACAGAAGTGTATCAAAACACAGGACCGCCTTCAAAATGTACTCGGCAAAAAGATGACCTCAACAAAAGTGAAACATAGGGAGTTGTGGGAAGAAAAACTAAACCAATCAAATATATCCAATGATGATATATGTGATGCTTTAATAAAGAAGGCCATGGAAGGTATTAAAGATATACCACTTAATACAAAACCTGTAGAACAAAATGAAAATTTACTAAACAGAACCATCTCAAAGCCATCTTCTGGGATCACCATCTCAAAGCTATCTACTGGTATCAAAAATGATAAGAAAAATATAAGTTCAGTTAAGAAAGAGACAAATATGAAGAGTGAAGATTCTACAAGTGATGTTAGCAAAGAACCCTCACAAGATGTAGCACCAGTATCAAGAACTTTGAGGTCATGCAATGAAACAAATCATACTGAGAGTGAAAAAATAACTCGACCTAGTGACACAAACAAAGTAGAAGTAAAAGTTAAGATTTCAACAATTGATGTAAACAGTGGCGGCAAAAAGACCAAAGCGAAAGAAGTGCCGCAAACAAATACATTCAGTTTAAATGATACGACACCACAACCGGAAAAGACCTTCAATATAATGGAACACGTTAGTATGATCAAGGTTAACGGCGTGGGTGTACTATTCCAATGCACATTGTGCAATAGAAATTTCCTCAAGAAACAAGTCGTGATGGCCCATGCATGTGCCAAAAACGGCTCCGCGAAAGTTATGGGTCCTAAACCGATTATTGCTACTGAACCACCGAGAATACCAACAGTGAAATATATAAACACGAAAACTAATGATGTTAAGAAAACTGAAGAGGAAAATAAAACAGAAAATAAGACTGGTGCGCTGAGTAACGATGATAAACCTGTTGTCAAGAAACCTAGACCTAAAATTGGTCCCGCCAGTAAAGTACGCCGATATAATGAAGACAATATGCCACAACCAGATAACAAACCCGCGACGACGGACGCCCCACAGGCTGAAACTCCATCAACAACGCCTCCAGTCGTACAAATAAATAGCTTCCCGAGTCTTAACAGTCGCTATAAACTCATGGCGGGACCAAATAATACCTTTACACTCGTAGAAGACAAAAATAATCCCACAGAAATTCATCCTGAAGTAGAAAAATTACCAGAAGTAGGTAATAAGGCTGTAGAAAAAACAGTGCAACCAGTACAAGCAGAAAATAGACCGTATCCGGTGAAACTATTCAAAACATTAGCCCACAATTCAGAGTCAAAGCCAGTTTCATTCACAACACCGGCCATGAAGAAGCAATCATATAAAATTGTACAGACAGGCAATCCGAGTAAACTTCTCATATCAACCAAATCACAACAAATAGAGGAAATTCCTAAGAAGAGATTAAGAAAAACTAAAAATGACAATGATGATTCAAATAAACAACCGTTCTCAGTGACTCTCGAAGACATAACTCCGGCCAAAGATACCGGATTTTTCACATTCGTGAACGTAGATCCTCTCCTCCAACCCTCATATGTACTGCCAACGGACAACATCATCCAAGAATCTCAAATTTCTACTTCAACTAATATCGCGAAACAGAATATCATGAAGGATACCGAGTTAAAATATTCATGTAGCATGTGCAGCGAAGTTTTCTCGAGGGAAAAGAAATTACTGGCTCACATAGAGTCCCATTACAAGAAAATGGATGAGGAAGACGAAATCAGGGCTGAAAAGCCTGGAAGGAAACGACGGAAATGAGACTCAGATTTGACATTGATTAAATCTCATACTGTCTGTAGGTTTAAGTTATAAGTTTAGTAAGCATAAAGTAATTTCTTTTGTTTTATTTACATCTTTATTTTACTTCATTCCAAAGTAATTAAATATATTTTATATTTCATTAGTTTCTATACAAAATTGTATAATTTAACTGTGCAAAGCTCTTATGTTATGTGTCCTATGTTTCTAAGTATATGCTAAATATATATATTTATTATAAGATTAAAATAATTGTTTATCTAGTAGCTGTCGTAGTTTTTACACAGTTTTTGGCTAATTTAATGTATTTTAGCTGAACATGGTTTGATTATTTGTACAAATAAAATGTTATAACAAAACTTTTGTTAATGTTGATATTGTATACAAATATAAGAATTATTTGTTTTTTTTTTACTACGTAAATAGTTCATCATAACACCCATACTAAAGGTACTGCCATTTTGTTTTATATGATTGCTATTATTAGTTTCAATAATAAAAGAAATATTCTAGATTAAGATTTTTATCATTCATCCCTCTTTAAAAATTAAAAGTAAATTTTATTCACTCTCACGATTGGTTAACGCTGTTGTTGGTAAGATCCTGAAACTAAGGTTGGCTGTATACAAAAAAATAATTAAAATATGGCGGGAAAATAATATTTCGTAAGATAGAAAACTATGATTCTATTATGAAAATGGAGATATCGGTGTGTAGGTACAGTGTACATTATTGTAATAATAACTCTACATCTGAGGCGCTGAAACAGTATATATGTATAGTTTAAAAAAATGTAAGTATTATTTTTTTTTATTAAAATTGGTCATTATCGAAATGATCTCAATTTGTCATGTTGCCAAGCAACTAGGCAACGATATAATCTGAAGATTTAAGTGTATAAAGTAGGATCATATACAACCATTTTAATTATTGTAGCTTAAAATTTATTTTAAAGATATATATTTTTGCATTCCTTGTACAAAGAGACTAAATTTTTTCATACAACTTAAATTTCATGTATATTAGTTACAATTTTTTAATCAATTGTCACTTGAATTAAGATTATGAATATAGTAGGTGGATATATTAATGTGTTTATTTTGACATGATTATTAAGTTTCACGTTATTAGATTATTAAAATTTGGTCATAATGTTCTAAAAGAGTACAAGTACAATGCCTACTAATTCAATAATTTTTAAAGTCTTGCCTTTCAAGCCTTATATTATTTTATCGAACGAATAAAATCTGGGTATCAATAGAAACAAAAGATTCAAATTCCAAACTCAATGTAATCTATCTTCTATCTTATCTTATCTTATATATATAAAAATGGGTTGCTGTTCCTTAGTCTCGCTAAAACTCGAGAACAGCTGAACGGATTTATCTTATCTTAGTCTTGAAATTTTCGTGGAGGTTTAGGGAAGGTATAAAAGCAGAAAAAAAATTGATTCATTACTGGGAAAACCATAAAAACAGCCCTTTTCTATTACCCATACAAACGTTTTTTGACATTAGATTTGACAACTAAGTACTAACTAATATGTCAATCATTTTGTTGCACTTCAGAACACGGAGATTTATGGCTTAAAGGTAAACACCAAAAAAATAAATAAGACATAATTTATTTCTTGATTGAGACAGTACGAAGTCTGCCGGGTGAGCTAGTTATTAATACAATCTGTCCTGATTTTACTACTCTTAATTGTCTAGAAATGCCTATATTGGACTCGTCCTCAGCCTATCAGGGCCCACTGCTGAGCAAAGGCCTTATTCTCATATGGAGAAGGTTTGAACATTAGTCACCACGCTTGTTCAAGACGGGTTGGTGATTTCAAACTTATAATTGTGAAATTATAAGTACAGGTTTCCTCACAATGTTTTCCTTCACCGTCTGTCAGTGGTGTTTATATACTCTTTGAAAGTACATATGACTCGGAAAAATCAAATTGGTACTTGCCAGGAGCGAATCATAATAAGTCATTATTCTTCACTATAGAATTGCTTCTCATTTCCAATAGGTATACACTGGCGAAGCATTAGCAGTTTCAGAAGCTGTATAATGTACTGAAACAAATAACATCAAAACAACTTTAATTTTAATTAACTCTGTTAGTTTCCTACAAGTATAAAAAAATTACCATTTCGCACGTATACCATATTTTTATTTATATATAAACTTATTCACGTAATATACTCCGAGAAGCCTTTACACTTACAGTGAATTTTATAAATATTTTTATATCTGTTTGGGTTAGGGTAAATGGAGCTCAATAAATTTTGTTATTCTGAACGGTCTTTATCAAAGTTCATTAAAGGTCGACAATATACAGGGTGACTGGTGAATTACTATCGATATTTGAGGACGTGATATTTGACGATCATATATGACAAAATAAAAATTAATATAACATAAATATTAATAAACTTCTTCGTAAAGTTAACCAAATGTTATGTAATTAATTACGCATCGTATGAACACCCTACAGATTAGGTATACACAAACACTCACACAGACGCGTGTCGTGACGTAGTGTTGTATCAGCACGCCGCCGCACGCGTCCACACTTTAACACTTGGAACGTGTCAACACTTTATTTATTTATACGGAAATTTTGTCAAAAATTAAGTGTCTATTTTTTTAACATAATTCGAATGAGAATCATGTACCCAGTATGCTCCTTAAATATTGATAGTAATTCACCAGTCACCCTGTATAAACCTTATAAAAAAAGCCGTCCGCGATGAAACATCTATAAGTCGCTCAAGTATTCAGATCACTCAAGTGGTGGCCTAGTGGTTAAAGGGTCCGGCTCTCGTTGCCGAGGGCGCGGGTTCAAACCTGGCAAGTACCAATGTAATTTTTCGGAGTCGTATGTACTTTCTGAGAGTATTTAGACACCACTGACATACGGTAAAGGAAAACATCGTGAGGAAACCTGGACTTATAGTTTCACAATTATAAGTTTGAAGTCACCAACCCGTCTTGAGTAAGCGTGATGATTAATGCTCAAACCTTCTCCATGTGAGATAGAGGCCTTGCTCAGCAGTGGGCGCTGATAGGCTGATGACGTATTCAGATTAGGATGAGAGATTACTCATTGTGTGAATGTGGCTTGGATGGAAGTTGAATTTTGTCACATTTAATTTTCTTATCTAAAAACAATCTTTTATATGATTTCTTTATTATACTATATGTACATCGACGAAGAAATGCTGAGTATTTTTTGAGTTTGATTTATAGTATTACACTTACTTTCTGATTTCTGTGTAAATTCATTAAATCCAATATTTTAAAACGTTAGTAGTTCCCTTTTACAAATTAATAAGCTGCTTAGATTATTATTTATATATTTCTTTGTGTTGATCTACAGGTGCTGGCAAAAATAAAACTCGAGTCTTAAAATATTGCATTTATTCCGGTAGACAAATTCTTTCGTATTTTCTCTCAAAATTATACTGTAATTCGCTCAATTAATAATAAAATATTTTATGTGACCAAATTCAATTATCATAGCTCAAACTTGTTTTCATAGTCAATTAACTGAAATTAAAAATATAAATCTAAGTGCCGTCGATGAAAAATATATTTTCGCAAAATTTTAAGAGATTAGCAGATTGTTAAAATTTATGTAGAGAATTAAATTCAAAATATCTTTAATATTATTTGAACATTAAATATTTCTCATTTATCATACAATATTCAAGACTTTTATTTAAGGGTAATATGATATTAGGTGTACCTAAAAGGTGTATCTTTAAGTCATCCTTTCTACTCATGAGATAGAATGGTCATACATTCTTAAAAGGTCTCCAGGGCCATTCTTTTATGCCGGTGTTTTATAGTATCTTCCATAAAGCTTGGTTAAGCGAAAGCGGTTCATATATGTACTTTTATTATAAACTTATCATTGCTCATACTATTTATAACATTAAAAATATTGAAATAAACGAACTTCGCATGTTAAGTTTCTTGGATGTAACCTCGAAAAGTTTACCTTACATTAAAAAATAAGAATATTCTTCACGCATTATATGCATATATCTATTAAATGTTAATTCATATTAATGACTACAACTTCAAAGATACATTTAAACATTTTGTAATTCTCAATATAACCTTCCTCTTCATATTTGGTACTTACTTTTAGTCTACATTTATTTAAATTTTTACTTACTTTATTTTACTTAATCTGATATTGTAATAAGGATATTTAAGTTTCAATAAACAATAATCTACTTCAAGTACGTCTTATTAATAAAGAGAATACATTCACGAAAAGCATTCTTAAATAAGAGACTCACCTATTTTAGTCTTTATTTTAATAATCATTTTGACTGCGACATTTTATTTTAATACAAACATAATTCCGTAAAAGGAAAATATCCAAAACTAGGTTTCATTAGGGCATTCATTGAATACGTAAAAGTATTTGCACAAGTTAAATTGCTTTCGCTCACTTCTCATTGCAATATCCCATTACAAAGTTCGGTATTACATTAGGAAGGCTATTTGTATTCCGCAGTCCGCACCTATTGCTGGTATGAGAGAAGTTTGGAAATAAAACTGACCATTTGCAAACGTTTGAATAAAAGGAGTTATTACATATTGAACTATTTGAGTTAATACATATCAATAAATTTTTTTATATGGATCACATTTTATATTAATTATTTTCCCAACAACAACACTATTTCACCTCTAAAATGTTCGTAGTTATTACTATTTTATTTAATTAGGTATATTACTTATGTAAGTATATAGATTAAAACCATCAATCAAACAAAAATAAATAAATGTTTTTCTAATATTTATGATATATATTTTTTATACATAATCTGTTAACATACTAGGATTGATTACATCATGTTATGTATATTTTTTTAAAAAACCGATATCACTGTAGCTGAAAAGTAACCGTAATGTCGGGAGTAGGTATGTAGTTTTTTAAATAACGAAAGTAGTGTAATCCGAAAAATATTAGTTTCATTTAAATGAAT